TTCAAAGTAAGATATTTCAGCTTCCTTATCTTAAATGTATCTGTATAGTCCACTTCACAGTTAGGTAATATAAAAACCAAATATACTATGTTTAACATCACCATATAACACAAAAATAAATGAGGCCGGAGCAGACAGACAGACAGTGAAGCATGAAGTATGTACATCCTAGCAGTGTACAGTAGAGAAAGAGCATCAAAATCCATATTGTAACAGCACATATTAGGCACCGAAAAGTACAAGATAATCCAGAATGAAAGGAACCCCATGCAACGCAAAGACATCCCACTATAACTGAAACTTCTTTCCTGCTCATTACAAAAAGAAAAGAAAAAAAAGAGAGAGAGAGAGAGAATCTAGCATGCAAAACAAGGATGGTGTTTTAGAAAAATCATACAAAAGGAGAACTGCAGCGGCCACGTATAAAGTATGCTAGACTTCAATCAAGGATGAGAGGGTTACATAGGCAACATAGTACAACAGCTTTGCACAAAAATGACCCTAGTCAATGGGCTACTGTAAGGAGAGCACTTCCAGCTACCCTCCATGAAAATGCTATGCCTTATTTAGATATTTAAATATTCTCCAGCAATCTAATAGAATTCATTTTTAAAGTATTTGGTCAAAGTACAACAAAGGGATGAATCAAACGACATAAAAATTCAATTTCAACCCTGATTATACAACAGTTGCTAGAAGAGAACATCATTCTTTTGGTCAAACCTTGCAAGCCACTACACAATTCCAGGGAAGAAACAATATGGTTTTATACTAGTAAGCAAAGGAAAATTCACAAGGTTTGAGCCTCCAGAGAAATTATTTGATGGTTAACAACTTGCCCCAATGGATGCATTATTGAAAAAAAAGGGGCATCGGAATTTCTAAAAACCTTAAAAGTCCATCACCAAGCTGCTAGAATTTTGTAGTTAAAAGCCGATGATATGCTGGTTCAAAATCAATAGGCTACCGCTACCCTTTTGCAAATCATGAACCCAAATCCAAGATAGATCTCTGAGAGAGAGGCTATGGAAAAGGATCATCTACAAGCATCTCTTTATAATTATAGGTCCCAACAGCATCAATCTGCTATCTATGCAGCAATGAATAAGTTTAATAGTTTATCGCTCAGTCACCTAGAAACGTGATGATAAATGATATGTTAGTCTTTGATTAGTTCATGCTAGCGCCAAATGGTGATTTTAAGGCTCAGTAAATTGTTCCAGCACTAAAAGGCAACTACACTTAAGAAAAAATTCCCTAGCAAAGAATTCGTAGTGTAGGAAAAAGATTGTAAGTCAAGGAAGAAGAGTTTTCTTTCTACCAACCATAAAAAGATTTAGTTCTAATCTAGCTAATCTACTTTGAGTTCTAGCTACCTTTCTGGTTTATCTGATACTGAAAACTGATAAGTAAAACAATTAAAGTGGTTCAGCAAAAAGAAAAGAAAAGAAAAGGAAAAAAAAAAAAACTCATCAATTACATAGACCGATATTCAAAGTAGAAAGAGCTGAACAATTTCACAACCAGTGACCTAACCTTTATTAGCTCCAACTTTCTGAATTATCACATACTAGAAATTTGAAAATGTTCAGTAGCTTGCTAAAAATGATTAAAAGAGCAGTAAGTGCAAGGCAGCCTAGTAATATAATGCAGCACTATTTCTGGTTCATGGAACAAGTAAATGAAGTTCCTCTTTCCCATTTATTGCTTTTTTTGGGTGGGGGGAGGGGGGGTAAAGTTACATAAATGCATTTTGCTACCAAACATTGTAGAACAAACCAACAAGTAGTACACTATTCCGCATACAAATCCGCACATTACAAAATATGGTTTCTAAGCGTATTGAGAGAATAAAGACATTAGGTGAAGATAGCCTAAAAGCCTCTAGGGTGAAGGTAGCAGTTCAAAACTTCAAACCCTTCACTGGAACAATTTTATAAAAAAAAAAACATATGCCGACAATATGCACCAATAGTTCATGAAGATTCGAGATATTGATCATGGTATCCAGTGAGCCAATATTCCAACTAGAGGCCAAAGTGACTAGTATTTCCATCACCCAGTGTCTCAGACTCTCCATTAACTTTTGACATACCCATGTTGGACACCATATGTCCATATGTCCGTATCCAACACCTAAAACAGCTACACTTGGTGATCAAAACTTGTTGTCACAAATGAAGGGGAGACAAGAGAGATAAGCCCGTTAGGAGATCCCGGAGTGATGTTCATCCTAAAATCAATTGGCATTAGGAGAAATACTCCAGATGTAATGACGTGCACAAAACAGTAAGAATCAAAGTCCAGATCTCAGCATTCAAAATTCTAGTAAACACTTTCATCTGTGCAAAGTACTCCCTCCCTTCCCTATTTCACTCAACTTCTCTTAACACATTAATGCACCACAACAAGTCAATTTAGAGTAGCAACGGGAGAACTAACAACTCCTAAATGGCTTAATCTATATGCACAACTTTAACAGTCTCCTATTTTTAAAGGAAGGAAGTACTCGTGATCAAATATCCCTACCCCTAAACAACGAGTCTCGGATTTTTGAAGGAGGCGGGGGAAAGCACTCGTGATCACATTTCCCAACCCTAAAGAACTTACTATGCAACACCACCGTGACATCCCCATTAAACCGTCCCCACACCCCTGGCACTAAAACAAGTACTCGCCCATCATTTCGAGACATCATCCGATAAATGCAAGCAATACAAAGAACATCAGCTATATTCCATGCTGGGAAATACCAATAACAAAGCAAGAAATTAATATTATCACAGGAACAACAATTTGCTACAATAAAAACCAACAAATTATGTACAAATCAATCATAATAATAACAAACAATTGTTCGGTTTTCTTCAAGTTCTCAAAATTGACAGTAAAAATAATAATTCCCAGATCTAAAATCAAATGTATGAAATTAAAACCATTTACTTACCAACAAAAATCAGCACTCCAATCAACAATCAATCTCCACCAAGCGAAAAATGGGCGAAACAAGTGTGTTATCAATTTCCTTCAATTAGCAACCCTAACCCTCAATTTTCATTCTTTTTTATAGGCAATCAAAAAACAAAAACCCTTGAATAAGCGGTTCGAGCTTCACTTCAACTTTACAGGAAAATAAAAAAAAAAATCAAAATTATAAACCCTAACAATTTACAAATGTCCGATTATCGACATTGAACAACCGCAAACGCCGCCATGAAAGCAGGGCGGAGTGACGATGATGGCGAGAAGCGGAGGAGAGAGAAAGAGAATGGAGAAGATGATAATTGTTTAGGTTTAGCTGGTTGTAATTTTTTAATTTTCCTTTTTCTTTTCTTTTTTTTATTTTGGTGTAGTGGGGAAGAAGAAGAAGGTTGGTTCACTTGGTTGGTTGTGTTGTGTATGGCTTTTTACAAATAGGGGGTTACTAGACTTTCGCCATTTGATACATGCCCCAATTAGAAGGTTACCTTCCTTGGGGAGTAGATGAAGAGTTTATTATTGCGCAAAATTTTTATACAATAGATTGTAAGCTTATTACGGTTCGTGATAGTGATTTCTTAAATTGATTTGCTTTTTGCAGTATGAATTTCTTTATATAATTGGTTGTAAGTATAGATGACGTCGAGCCGGGCCGGACCAAGGCCCAATATGGCCTAGCACAAAAAAAAACGGCCGAGCACGGGCACGTTGTAGGCCGGGCACTACACGTTATTATGCATGTCAGGCTGTGGGCCAGACTTGAGCCGCCTTTATTTGGGAGAAGTACGATAAGGCACGGCACGACAAAGCACGCTAAAATCAATGAAATTTTGCTTAGGCACGCAATCCCAAAACGACCCGGTACGATGGCGCGTGGACCTAGACCATGCATGGGCCAACCTTTTGAAAATTTCAGGCCGACCTAGCACGGCACGTAACTAGTGGGTAAGGCGACTCAGCATAGGGTCGGGCCTAACTAACCCCAAAGCACGTGGGCCCGACACGAGGCACGGCCTAGAGCCATCTGTAGTTGTAAGTTTGTAATTTTTCGTGATAAGTATTTTTGGTATCTGTTTACATTTACAATATACTAATCATGTGCGATGGAGAACGGGATGAAACAAAATGCATATATGTGTATGAAGCTTATTGTTAAAATACAAGTTTGGTGTTTTAATGGATATCATTAGTGGCCTGTTGATAATGAGAACAAGATTAAACAATTTCAAATTTATATATGATTTAATGGATTTCAATATATACAAACAATGATGTCTTGATCATTGATAATTTTTGCCGAGATTTTGTATTGATTCAATAATAACTATTTGGTCAGCGATCATCTAATAACACTTTTTATAAAGAAATCTCATAGTTGATCTAGTAAACGTGAGGTGATTTCACCAGGTTTAAACCAATATTAGAACGAGGCTTTTTATTACAACAATATCAGTCACTCTATTGACATACATTGAAGATTGCATTTTAATTTTTAATATGTATTATTTTGTGGCATACCAAGAAGTACAATGATTAAGTTTAATGGTATAAAGTTCCCAAAAGAAACATAAAAATGGTTACATGTCCAAGTCAATTGTTAAAGAAAACAAGTTTATCAAAATCCTAAAATTAAGATTCTTAGTGATTTGATAACCCTAAGACCTTGTTTTACAATCAATACAATAATAGTAGAATGTGAGTGAGTGATTGTTTGATTTGATTTGATGATTTGATAACCCTAAACAAAGACCTTGTATTACAATGCAAAATTTTGCAAAGATACTTCACTATTTAACTCATGACTATGTAAAATCATTTGTTGCGATTGTAGATTGGAGCATTTGTGCCAAGATCACCAACTCAAAGTACGTACTTATAACTAAATCGTATCATCTATCCAATAATTTGAGATTAGATATATCTACTTGGGCCTCATAAGAGTTTGTGCTGTAGGATTTTGGCCTTATGGGCCATACAGTACTACTAGTCTATTAGTAGCATTTCTGCAAGAAATGAGAGAATTAGGCATAAAGCACATACAATGAAATAAATTTCAATTATATGAGATAAATTCTCAGTTTAGTCACCTTAGTTGTTCATAAAGGGCTGATTAACAATAGGATAAATGAAAAGAGTTTGCTTGAAGAGCAAATATTTCGCTAAGATTATCATATCATTCCCACTCTATAGTTGAAGGAGGCTTCGATGTTATGTCTAGAGTAACTCGGTTCACTCCTCGAACATTATTGGTAATTTTACGGGACACCTGATCGAGAAATTCTGAATCAAAACGATACCTGGAAATATTTAGCAACAACCATTAGTCAGTAGATATAAAAGCGAATGACTTGCATCATGAATAGTAGCTTGAATCTACACAAACAAAACGGTCAAGATCAAGGACTATTTGACGAAGCTCAAACTCCAACCTAAAGCTGATTAAAGCTTGGCAAGGAAGGGTTCATTTTTTGCCACTGAATTGGAGGACTAAGGCCAAATTGTATGTTGTAAATGTCGTGAACTTTACATAACCACGACTCAACATCTAAAATCTGCTGTTTATTGTACATGTAGGAGCAATTTCATAATGTAGGAGGTTATTCCAACAAAACAAAGTTCTTCAGGAAATAATGTTCCTTTTCACATGTCCACAACATTCAAAAAGGCAATCAATCAAGCATATTGATGAGTTTTGAGGACAAGAAGTTCCAAGAATGGTAGCAAACATCAGTCTGTGTCCATGTGTGGTTTTTTCTAGAAACAAAAAGTTAACAGTATTTGAAACATGCAAAATGAAAGATAGATGTTCAGTACTTACCAATCTGCTGTCATCCCATCTTGACTTGTAACAGCTCGCAGGCTTACAACATGAGAATGCGTTCTTTGATCACCTTGAACTCCTACTGATAGAATGCCCAAGAAAACAGTGAAAGCTTGCCAAATTTCATCATAAAGTCCAGCATCTTTGATTGATTGAATAAATATCTCGTCAACCTGAAGAGCAAAATATTTCATATCAACCAAGGCACACACACAAATTTAAACCATGAAAGAGAATATCTCCTCACCTGTCTAAGAATTTCCAAATGATTTCCTTCTGTGACATCACCAAGTACACGCACAGCGAGTCCAGGTCCTGGAAATGGATGACGCTTCAAAAAGCCCTCGGGGATATTCAAGATCTTCCCCAATGCACGTACCTTCAAAGAAAACATAAATAATATAAAAAAAATTATGATGTGAATTGGAAGAGATCACTATACCTCTCATATCAAGGGGTATGAATACAAACCTCGTCCTTGAATAAAAGTTTTAGAGGTTCAATGAGCTTCAGTTTCATGTCCTTTGGAAGTCCACCAACATTATGATGACTCTTGATGGTATGGGAGTGATTTCTTCCACTTCCTGGAGGCGGGCAGGATTCAATGACATCTGGATATAAAGTTCCTTGTACTAAGTAAACAGGTTTATCCCCCAATTTTTTCTCTAGCTCCTGGGAAAATTCATCAAAGATACAGATGAATTCTTTTCCAATTATCTTTCTTTTGGTCTCAGGGTCTGCAACGCCCTTCAATTTGCTAAGAAACTGCTCCGATGCATCAACACAAGTGACAGGGAGATGAAGGTGTTCCTCAAAGGTATCCATCACTCGTTCTCTCTCCTTATACCTACAAAAACATTATAAACTATGATCAAGGGCTAAAAATAATGCTGCTAGAATCTATGGTGTCAGGATATATAACCTAATTCTAACTACCCTTGTAACAGAAATTAGTGAAAAATCTCACCTTAACAAGCCGTTGTCTACAAAAATACAATGAAGTCTGTCCCCTATCGCCTTATGAACAAGAGTGGCAGCGACAGTAGAATCCACACCACCAGATAAAGCACAAATGACATGATCATCAGCACCTACAGTTTCCTTGATAACTTTAATTTCTTCATTCAATACATCCTCCATATTCCAGTCGGCACTTATCCCACAAACATCAAAAAGAAAATACCGCAATGTTTTCATCCCTTGAGTCGAATGTGTAACCTATAGTAAGTTCAACAACCTTGTTACTCACTACCAGACACTTGACAACACTAAAACCACAGAAAAGTTGCAAAAAACACCCATTGATCAGCAAGTTAAGAACTCCCATTCACAGCTAACATTCTTCTCTAACAAAACCCGAAATCAGGCCCAAGCAATTGCTTTTACAAGGTCACATCACACAACCATACATGTATAAGAAATTCAGCACAAACTATCAAAATCATTCTTCAAGTCATATTCCCCCCAATTGAACCTTTTTTACATATTACAGTACAATTAACTGAAATACATACAAAAGTTGCCAATCATAATTTTAACACAGAGCATCTCACTACAGAGCAAAAGGGCAAAACACCTCGATATAAAAATTTCACCTTTGCATGATAAATCAAATTAAATTAATCAGCAACAACTTTATAACAAAGACCAATTAAATCAATTAATCAAAAGATTAACAGCAAACAATCAACTAAACATTAAATTCAACTTTTTTTAATCAAATTTACCTCAGGATGATATTGAAGACCATAAAACTTTCTAGAGGGATTCTCAATAGCAGCAACAGCACCTTGCTGACTGACTGCAACAACCTTAAACCCATCAGGAAGTTTCGAAACCTCGTCACCGTGACTCATCCAAACATCCTGCTTATCCCCCTTAATCCTACTCCCAAAAAAGGCACTATTCTCAGAAATCACCTCAATATTCATCTTTCCATACTCTTGTCTATCACCAACCTTAACCAAACCCCCAAGTTTCTGCACAATCAACTGTAATCCATAACAGATACCCAGAACATGAACGCCATTGGTTTCGACATAATCGACGAACCCGTCACAGAATACCGGCGCGTCAGGCGCGTGAACACTGTGGGGGCCACCGGACAGGATGATTACACGTGGGTTTAAGTCGGTGATGGATTTGAGAGGGGAGGTGCCGGAGATGCAGAGAGAAAAAACGGAAAGTGACCGGATTCTTCGGGTGATGAGGTGGGTGTATTGGGAACCGAAATCCAAGATTAAAACTAAGTCGGATTTCACTTTCTGAGCATCCATAATTGATTGTTGATTGATTGGAGATTGAAGAGAAAAATAGGGATTGAGAGGAGAGAGAAAGAGGGGGTTTAAGAGAGGAAGAAGGCGGGGGTTTGGAAGAAATGAAAGGGAGGATGAGATTTTAGGGTTTTAGAAAGGGATGGCGGGAACCCCGGGTTCACGGGGTCGATTGATTATCCTTGGAAAACGGCAAGAAACATTACTCTCTATATAATTTTTATTTTACAGGGTTTCTCTATATATAATTTGAGTATTTGACCCAAAAATAATGTATTATTAACTATTACTAAAACAGAAAATTATTGACATCATCCTCTCCTCAAACTGTATACTATTGCTCTCTCATAAAAATAAAATTCCGCCTAATGCAATGTCATATATATTTTTGGTTTGTTTATTATTTTTTATTTTTAGGAATTGGTTATGCTTAATCATTTTTATTTCAATTTTTGACTGTGTCAATAAATAAATAAATAATTTTTTTTGGTTGGAATAAATAGAATTGATATTGAGCTAAAACATTTTAGGTAACTACGACATTTTTTTAAATTTTTTTTTTTAAAGTTTAACTGTTATGTGTGTCTGTAAATTAAGGATTGTGCAAGCAACCTAGCTATGAAGTCATGTAATAATAATATGGATGTTTGTTATACAAAAATGAACTAATGTTGTCGTTAAATGTTACCATTATTTCACAGTATTTCCAAGGTGCTTCAATTTTTTTTATTACATCGCTTCAATTTATTTAAGTTACATGTATTTTTAATTTGTATTTCGAACTCTTAGATATATAAATTCGTATGCATATGGTTTGATTAGATCAGATTGGCTTTCATTTTTATATTTTGTTACATAGTAATTTATGATGAAAGATACGTTTTTATGATCTAATTTATAAGTATGTACGGGAAAATAATAAATAAAAACAATTTTTTTCATTCTAATAATTTTTTTCAATCCATGGATTGCACGAGTCTAATCTAGTTTTGGTTCTATTTAGTCAGCCTGTTGCACACTTTAATCTTTTGTAAAACATACTCAATAAGTTTACATTAAAATTATTATTATTATTATTATTATTATTATTATTATTATTTTTTTAGTTTTCAGAAAAATAACTACCTTGGTAGGTTGCCAGTTTTTACAAGGAAAAAAAAAAAAGAAGGAAAAAAAAGAAGGAAAAAAAAAACTACCTTGTTAGGTTAAATTCCGTACAAATCAATTTGACTCGATTTAGTGAGTAAATGAAAAGGGTAAAAATTCACTTTGAATTTTCTTTAGTGAGGATTGATCAATTGAATCACAAGTGAAATAATGTACAAATGTACAATGTTTACCTCATGACTCATGAGGCTAAGCTTGGCTTAATTTAATATTTTTTTCCCTGAGATACTCTATTAATCATAATCATAGGTGCATCAACCTCAATTAATTATTCTAATTTCCTTATATTCGTTGCTACTACTATTTTCTATTACTACGTTGATAGAATAATTAGGCAATAGAGATGGTTTGAGTATTACCAACCCCATAAACAAATGTGACAACATGTTTGAACTTTGAAGCATTGGGTTTTTGGGCACATGCATGATTGAATTGGATATACATTTTGCTTAATTTTCCGGAATACCTGGAGTGTATACATTAATGGGCAGCTCATGGATGATGCTTTTGGGAAATTTATGCAGAATTTGCTGCGGATTATTAATTTGATGGTATAATTCTACTATAGTCTTTCCTTTTGCATTTTTTTATACGTGATTTGCTTCATATAAAGTATATTTGGCTTGCTAATGTAATTATATAGAATTTGTGTGTTATTTAATTTATTGCTTATATGGTTATATATGTTGTTTGGTGAATGCGATTGGGAATCAAATTGAAGTAGAATTCACCATTCTTTGAATTGCTTCTACATTTTGTAGATTGTTGTATGATGGTAGTAGATTTTCTGTAGCGTAGTATGCATCTGCTATAGCTCGCTGTTGGGGTGACCCAATCTGTCAATTATATACCCGGGTGTACCTAGACCTAGATACAACGATGGTCGTTTGCTGATTCCGGGAAGAATGACTCATTTTGAACAAAAGAAATCATATAGCCATGTGTGTGGCAGTAAAAACTTTGGAGATTAAACTTTAGAAGAACCAACTGTGTTAGCATATATATAGACACCTTTTGGTCTTACTGCTATAATTTGCTAATTACAATGTATGAGGGTATAAATTAGGATCAATATGTGTTATTAAAGTTGGTATCTTTGGGACGAATTAAAATGGATCTTATTTAGTTATATGGTAGTTCTTGTAGCAGATAATTTCGAAGGGGTAGAATGTGGGGTGTGTGTTCTGGAGGCTTGAACACAGCCTTGCTTATAAAACCAACTGATGGAACAAGGCAAAGATTTTCCTGATACGCGTTTATGATGAATTGATGATGTATGTAAACACATTCTCTTGAACTTTCGGAATGACTTATTCTAGAATTTGTATCTCGATTTAGGAGTTAACCAGCTATCCTGCTCAATGTTTGCGTGTGGGAAATGTAAATGGATTTTATTAACTATGGTTGCTACCTTCTAATGTCCCTTTGAGGGCAAGACTAGTTTTTAATATTAAGATTAATAAAGTCCTTGATGTGCTCTATCCCACTTTTGCCCAATATTATATCACTTTAATGCCATTTTCAAATGTAGAATCACCAAGTTTGCCATACTTGAAGTGTTCTGCTGCCTTGTTTTTTTCCCCGTTTTTAAAGCCATAATGCGGCTTTTTAGTCCCTTGACACGTCAAATTTGAAATGGCCTAACCATTCAAGATCAAATCCAATATATATCACTTTCAGTTGATGACTAACATGATGTACGCGGCGAGGCGTGCAACTCTATGTCAGATTGTCAACTACAGGAAAGAGGGGATTTTGAGTGCTAGCTAGTATATCTTATAAAAAGCTATATCATCAAAGCCTTAGTTCATAACCCTCATTTTTCTGAACTGTTGAGACATTTGAGTCTCAAAGTATATGTTTTTTGGTTTATCTTGTTGTAAATATATTGTTAACTACCTATCAATTTGTTGTTTATCTTGAGTTGTTGTCATATACCTATAACTGCATTCTTGATTGCTCCTGCATTTATTCTTGTTATCCTTTGATTATCAGTTCATAAAAGATGACGAGTATTGATATTGAGAGTCAACAGGCTAATCCTCCAAAGGGCACAGACATAGAACAAAAGAGTGAAAAAGTGCCATTGTTGCAAGATCATCCTTTGATTATAACAAAGGATGATGCTAATACAGCTTCATATTTAAGTGGAGTCTTTAATTTGTCATGCACTATTGTTGGTGCTGGTATTATGAGCTTACCAGCTGCCATGAAAGTACTTGGTATTATCCCAGGGGTTCTTTTGATTTTAGTTTCAGGATTTTTGACAAAGTACTCCGTTGAGATATTGCTTCGCTATAGTGAAAAAGAAGGATCATATACCTATGGGCAGCTCATGTATGATGCCTTTGGAAGGCTTGGAGAGATTTTTTTTCAAATTAGTGTTATCATCAACAATACTGGCATTACCATAATCTATTTGATAATAATTGGTATAAGTCCATTGTCCTTGGCCTTGTGCAATTTCTTTGGTCCATATTATAACTTCATAATTGCTGTATATAGGTGCAAGATGCCTGTCTATAAGTTGTCTGATATTTTTTTCATGTTTGATTATGTAAGCGGATGTGATTTCTGGGTCAACTACAAGTGGTATTCACCATTCTGGTATTTTAGAAGAGTGGTTCGGAGAACAATGGTGGACAGGCCGTGCCTTTGTGCTGATTTTTCTGACTGCTTTTGTATTGGTTCCTACAGCATGGATTAAGCGTATGGGTTAGTGATTTTTTTGGAATTTTGCTGTAAATTTTTGTTGCAATACTCTCTTATCTACTCAATATCATCGTCTGGTATATACTCTGAAATATTTTTTTAATCATTGATGCATATACATGCTTTTTCTATGGCTGTAGAGGCTCTGCAATACACTTCAGCAATTGCAGTTGGGTTGGTGGTGCTCTTCATTCTTATTGTTATCGAAATCACATGCTACAAGCTGGCAATGGGAACAATAAAGCAACCAGCACTCTTTCCTCACATAAATGATTTTGCATCCTTTTGGAATCTATTCACTGCAGTTCCTGTGCTTGTTTGTGCATACCTTTGCCACTATAATGGTAAAATCTTAAAGCTTTTTTCGGAGTCAGTTTTGCACTTTCAAAAAGTCATTTGTTATACTGATGCATCCTCTGGACTTCAATGGAAATTTCCTATTAGATTCTAGTCCCCTCAATAAGTGTGGATATTATAAGATGCTAACTTGTTTGACCATGGCCTGTCGATGAAATAAATTCTGAGCTTAGTTCTAATGATCTGAGAATCACTTTTATTTGTTTGATGTAATTTCATGCATGTCCATTTACCCTTGAAAACGAGGCTAAATTCATGTAATACCCATTTTTATACTGAAATTCTCTGTGTGGCTCCTTTTGTAGTGCATACAATACAGAATGAGCTACAAGATCCATCTCAGATGCCTGGGGTGGTGAAGTCTTCTCTATCTGTCTGCAGTACAATCTACATAATGACAGGGCTATTTGGATTTCTTCTCTTTGGAGATTCGACTGCTTCTGACGTGCTCTCCAACTTTGACTCCAACCTTGGTATTCCATATAGCTCAGTCTTAAATGCTATGGTCCGTCTCAGCTATGCAGCCCACATTGTTTTGGTATTTCCAGTTGTCTTCTATGCCCTCCGGCTTAACTTTTACGGCCTTGTATACAACTCAGCCATTCCACTGACTTCAGATACTCGGAAATCTGCATTTGCCATTATCACACTGATTTTAATACTTGTTATCCTGCTGGGAGCTATTTTTATTCCCAGTATTTGGGTAGCTTTTCAGTTTACTGGGGCAACAGCTGGAGCCTTGATCTTGTTCATATTTCCTGCTTCTATTGTTCTGAGGTTAGTAATCTTAGTATGTTTTATTATGTTAGTATATATGTGTTGCTTGATCTAATTAAACGTAAGTATAATCACCTCAATTGGAATAATGATGCTAAATTGCTAAGTCTGAATTTTTTCGAAGATTACTTGTGAAGCTTTTGTCACTGATGACAATTGTAGAACATTTTCAAAAGTTTTCTCCTCATATGCAGCAAATTTGGTTGATTTATTTGAAAAGTTGTTTGTTATTCTATTCTGTTTTTCCCAAGAGTTTTATTCTACAGAAAATGAATTATCATTGTGGAACAATTTGTTTCCTTGGACATATGATGGTTTAACTAGTCTTGTAGGCAATAATTTAGTATGAATTATGAACAAATCATACTTTTGATTATTGCCATTGATCTTTATCTGTTTGTTGTCTATATCCAGGGACCATCTCGGAATCTCAACAAGGAGAGACAAGATTATTTCCTGGGGTTTGATCATTCTTGCTGTATTTTCGGATCTGGTGGCTATATACAGCAATGCGGTTTCCTCGCTTTGAAATGTTTGTTTCCTTTTAGTTCTTCTATTTTATTTGTGCTACTCCTCAAAATGGTGCTTTGCCTTGTTTCAATTTTTAATAGGAAATGGGAAAGCCCGCAGTTTTTTTTTTTTTTTTTTTTTTTTTTTTGTGGGGGGGGGGGGGGGGCGGTGGAGTTTGTTGTTTCGCCATATCTGTAGCATTTGCTCCAGTGGGTTAAAACTCCAATAACTGTACTGTGTGTATGTAGCAAAAAAGTGTTCAGAATACTGTCAATATGTTCATTACTGGTAATTATTTTTCTAACTGTAAACGATTGTATTATCTCTCTTCTTTTCTCCCTTGTGTCATTTTTTGTATGTATCTAAGCAAGGTCTTAGGAGGTTTACCTTGGGTACTTAAACTGTAGTGCTGGCATGAGAAGTAATCAAAGGTGTTGACACAAGGCCTGTTCTTCCTTTAATTCTCAACGTGCTAACTATGCTGTAGTGCCGGTAGGAGAAGCAATAAAAGATGTTGACAATTATTTTTCCCTGCTACTGTATTCTGTCTTCATCTTCTTCTTTTTTTTTTTTTTTTTTTTTTTTTGGTTCCTACCAATTCCATATATATTCATGATTTACAAGAAAGTAAATTCATTACGAGCATATTTTAGCTTCTCTCTTTGCTGATCTCGACATTCATGTTTGGAATTAATAAACATTTCCTTCTGATCCTGACTGTTAGCATATTTCAGAAGTTAGAACTAATTTTTTCATTCATATTCTTGGTTTTTGTAATTCTAGACTTTCATCGATTCTGTAATTTAGTTCTAAATTTTGTATCTTCATTAACAACAGGATGACTTTTGTTCAGGGCATTGAAAGTAGTTTTGAAAAGTGTAGCTCGATTGTCTTAAAAGATGAAAAAATTCCTTTATTGGCTCACAAGAGAGCCTCTTTTGGTAGTTCTGTATTTAATTTGTCATGCACCATTGTGGGTGCTGGAATCATGAGCTTACCTGCTGCTATCAAAGTATTAGGTGTTATTCCTGGTTTTATTTTGATTATAATTGTTGGATTTTTGACTGAGGCCTCAATTGAGTTCTTAATTCGGTTCAGCGATGCATCTTGTTCATTTTCTTATTCTTCTGTCATGGAAGATGCATTTGGTAAAATTGGCAAGTTCTTAGTGCAGCTTTGTGTTGTTATCAACAATATCGGCACTTGCATCATATATTTGATCATAATCGGTAAGATTAGTGAACTGCTAAACATCGCCCGCAAATCTCCACATAAAGCCCACAAATTAAAAGTGAAATGATTCTTTTGCCCTCGAACTAAAATTATATTCTCTCTACTCTAGTAAAAAACACACTCTCATCTTCTCTTAACTTTGTAGTCTCACTTTCTCTCTCTAAAATATTTTTTAAAAATGTCGAGGCGGCAAGGCAAGGAAGTGGCGGCACCGGTGGCCGGAGCAAGGGGGTTTGGAGGAGGAAAGGTATGTTTTTTTTTTTTTGTTAATTTTTTTAAAAAAAAAAAAAAAAAAAACCCGGAAAAGGTGGCGGCCCGGCGGCGACTGGTGGCTGGACGGCGGCGACTGGGCGGCGGCGTTTGGCCCAGACGCCTCCACCACGGTTCCGGCGCCTGTCCCAGACGCCAGAGCCACGGTGGTGGCGCCTGGGCAGGGCGCCGGTGCCACGGTGGCGGCGTCCACGTCAGACGCCAACACCGTGGCACCGGCGTCCTGCCCAGGCGCCACCACCGTGGCTCTGGCGTCTGGGACAGGCGCCGGAACCCTAATTTTTTTTTTTTTCCATTTTCTTTTATTTTTATTTTTGAATTATTTTTTCAAATTTTTTTTTTTGCTTTTTTTTGTTTTTGTTTTTCCGTTTTATTTTTTAATTTTTTTTTTTTACTTTGTTTTTTTCCAATTTGTTTTTTTTGGGTAATTTTTTTTTTTTGCTTTGTTTTTTCCAATTTTTTATTTATTTATTTATTAGGTTATTAATTTTTTTATTTTTAGGTTGTTAATATTTTGTAATGTTTTTAATTTATTTTCCATCATATGTATATTGTTTTATTTATTTATTTTAATTACTTTTTTTATGTTTATATTACATGTTTATATTGCATATTACATGTTTTGTTATTTTTTTGTATGTTTATATTGCGTGTTTTGTTATTTATTTTTAATTACTTTTTGCATGTTTATATTGCGTCATTTGTATGTTTATATTGCATGTTTTTTTTATGTTTTTTTATTTAATTTTGTTTTTTCGATATTGTGTACTTTTCTTTTTGTTGTTGATACTTTTGAAAATAGATTATTAATATAAATAATAATAATAACAATTGCTATTATTTATCGTTATCTAAATTGTGTTAGGCATCGTATTTTCGTTCTGGGGCTGGGAAGAGTATGGACATTATGAGAAGTACGATCAACTCAATGGAGAGCTCGGGGCCCAGACACGTTAGATCCCGTGGTATTTCGGCCTCGGCTCGTAGAGAACGGGTGCACTATTCTGAGGATGATGTAGATGATGATGGTGATGAGGAGGAGGAGGAGGAGGAGGAGGAGGAGGAGGATGCAGATGAGGATGTGGACGATCAGAGTGGACCATATGATGATTACGGTCCATTCAGTCAGAGGCTTGATGATGTGTATGAGACGCGTAGGGTAGACGTGCGTAAGGGTAGAGACGGACCATAGTTTGATGTGTTTATTGTATGAATCTTACTAATTTTAAAAAATGTGAAGGTGAACTGGATGCCTTTCGGCCAGAACCCTAGTAATAGGGTACCCAGGACCCTCTACACGGGACTGATTCAGTATCGTGAGATCGTAGAGGCGTACATGCCGCAGCGCTGTCTTCGCCAGCTTGGATATGTCCAAGTTGTTCCTCCTCCACCAGCATGGCCCAGTAAGGCCGTCCGATCTGCGTCGTCGAAGGAGTACGTCGTCCAATGGCCGGCAAGCATGATTGGCACGTGGGAGCAGTTTCCGATGGTTGCCCGCATATGGATTGAGCAGCTGCAGCGGCCGCCAACTGGGGTGGCTGCCATGTGTGACCAGCACTACATGGAGTGGTACAACCGGCACTCGCACCCGAGGTTGATCAGAGACGTCCACCACGGCGACGACGCCGATGATGATGATGTGCCACCGCCCACTGCTGTGGATGCGGTACGTCTCATAAAACATTTGTAGTTGTGTTTTTTTTTTCATATAATACGTCGTTATTGAATTTTATGTGTTTTGTTATGTGTAGTGGATGAGAAAGATGACGCAGTTGGGACACAGACTTTTTGAGGAGAGGGACAACATGACGACTGCAACAGGCAGAGCTGTTATTGATGAACTGGAACGGGCCCTTGAGCAGTGGCAGTGGGCGTCACAGAGAGATTATTGATATGTCGGCAGTGCATTTATATAACATTTTCCTAGTTGTTTGTAAAAGTTAACATTATCTATTCTTATAATTATTATTTTAAGTTCTTAGAATTTGACATTATATTTTTAGTTTTTATAATTATTATTTTAAGTTGTAATTAGTGGGCATACGAAAATTAAATACAAGTTCACATATAAATGGGAAAACTAAATACGAAAATTAGAATCCGAAAATTAAATAAATGGGAAAAACATAGCAATAACAATAGAAGGTCACATAGAAAAGGCAACTAGATTGTTCCACTGCTGCACCCGGTTATGATATAGCGCATCCCAGCCCTCTACGCTTGCTGTACGAATGGTGTACCACGTTGGTATAATCGGTGGGACCGGAAAATCGGGTGACAGGTCCAGTCGGATGAAATGTCTGTATGACGGCCCCAGAAATCCAATAGCAACCTCTCTTACCGGTCTGGTGACGGTCTCACGCGAACACCAAGGCAGAACCGTGGTACATGGATAGTAAGCTCCACCATGCAACTCCCTCATCCTGGTGTGCTCGCTCAGAATCAACCCCAAGCAGTAGTGTGACACACGACCATGGAGAATCTTAAATATGAAATGGCTATACATCGTGCCATGTCGCCGTCTGGAGTCCTCGAGAGAGTTCTTGATGTCGTTCCTCTGAGTATCAATAGCCTTGTTTATTCTCTCGAACAGTGTATCCAGAGCAGAGGTGGAAGAATCAATCCAGTCCTTCAGAGCTCTATGAGCGCTCTCAACTCTACATGTAGTAGTGTTTCCAAAATGAAGAACTTGGTTTGTCCAATATTTGACAAACTTTTCCCTCTGAGGCACCCACTGCTGCATCACATAGTCTACGATTGCCGGGCACCATTGGTATGCATCCTTGAAGTTATCCAAGGCTCGGTCGTACTCTGCCTCCGTGGTAGCTTGCAGGATCTTCCGCCACTTACCATTTACCAATCTCTCTGCTGAATCTAAGTTCTTGTTGAAAAGGTTGTAGGCTTTGACTTTCACGCAGTTGTTGATGTGCCATGTGCACAGTAAATGGCTCGACTCCGGAAACAGCTCCGCTATAGGGGCAAAGAGACCTCCCTCACAATCGCTGACGATGGCCGATGACTGAACATTTGGGCCGATGTAATTTCTCTACTTCTCCAACACCCAACGGTAACTCGCAACCGTCTCATCCTTCATAACTGCATAACCAATCAAAAAGTTCTGGTTCGTTGGAGTCATCCCAACCATCTCAACCAGTGGAAACTTATACTTGTTTGTCTTGTACGTTGAATCGATCAGAATCACAGATGGCCAAGACGAAATCATATCAGCACAATCAGGATGCACAAGGAACAAATGAGTCACCTCCGATGTGTCTTCATCAGATTCAAACCAGTACAGGTAACCACGTGCTTGTGCCTGGTGTAGAAGCTGCTGTATAGGGTTCCTTCCCTCTGACCGTTCAAACCTCAATTTCTGTCTGACGTTGTAGATGTGTCTTCGGTTTGGCTGGTCTTCAGGAAATTTCTCCAACAGAGATGCTAATATTTTAGCAGGCTTCACTTGAGCATCACTCATTTCTTTTACAACTAGTTTCGCAGCAGGACTTAGGCCACTTAACTGTCGATGACCCACTTCATATGCGATCATCTCATGGTTGTGATACCCCCATTTACCGTAACTCTTCACTTCCCAACCGTCACCCCTTTGCTGTTGTCGAACCTTTACTCTGAACTGACACCCACAACCTTTCCGCTTTGTATCAAACCGAATCGCTTGACTGAAATCTCGTTCCTCCCTTTTGCGATAACGGTCGCATCTCAAAATGCGATCCATTCTACCATCCCGTTGAGATTTATGAGTTGCTACTACTAAACAAAAACCTGATCTAATTGCAACATGTTTCGCCCAATCAACCGCTTGTTGAGCATCTTCGAACAGACCATCGTGTACAAAAATCCCACTATAATCATTTCCGTCTCCACCATAATCCTGCAACAATAACATATAAATATAATCACATAAGATTAGATTAAATTAATACATTTGACACAACATTAGCACAAAAGCAAAAACAATAATAAAATATAAACAACAAACAAAGAAATAAAAAACATAAACAAAAAGTATTCAAAAAAAAAAACAAAAACAAAACACAAAAATAAAAAACATAAACAAAACTTTAGATTAAATAAAAAAAAAAACCAAAAAAATAAAAACAAAAAAAAAAACATAAACATAAAAAACATAGCGATCAAAAACACAAAAATCAAACACAAAATTTTACATTACATTTTAAAAAAATTAAAAACAAAACAAAAAAAACCAAAAAAAAACGAAAAAAATTGTAACACAAAAAAAAAAAATAAACAAATTTTAAATTAAATTAAATTAAAAAAAAAAAAAAAAATGCAGTGGCGCCTAGCCAGGACGCCGCCACCGTGGCGATGGCGCCTGGCCAGGACGCCGCTTCCATGGTGGCGGCGTCTTGGCCAGACGCCAAGGCCACGGTGGCGGCGTCCTGGCTAGGCGCCACCGCTACGGTGGCGGCGTCCCGGTAGGACGCCAGCCGCCAATTCGTGGTTTTAGATGGCTTCGTACCTCGTTTTCCGGCGTCGACGGCGTCTCTCCGGTGCATCTAGCCGACGTTGAGGGCTCTTCGGTGTCACTCGGCGATCCAGTCCTGCTCCACATTTTTGGTGAGTGAAAAATTTCGTTTTCGGTAAAAATTAAAACAAGGGCAAGAATGTAATTATAGAATCATAGCATGTCTGAGTCTAATCACCTGTTTAGTTAATGTCTTAATTAAGAGGATGTGCTCTCTGGATCAACTGCTTCAAGTGGGGTTCATCACCCGGGTGTACTAGAAGATGGGTTAGGACAACAATGGTGGACAGGGCGTGCATTTGTGCTGTTCGTCCTAACTCTATTTGCATTCATGCCTTTGATATGGTGTAAGCGCATAGGTGAGTAACGTCTTGCTCTTACAGAATCAACAATAGGGATTTAAGTTGAATTTAGCAATAGAGAACCTTTCTAGTAACTATATTATTGAATTATGACCATAAAAATTGATGAAGTAAATTGAAGATTGAATTGGCTGATTGCATTATTCTTTGTTATGATGGTTGCAGATTCATTAAGATACACTTCAGCTGTAGCAGTTGCACTTGCAGTGCTCTTTATAGTCGTCGTCATTGCAATCACAGCTTTCAAGCTAGGAAAGGGAACTATACAAGAGCCTGCATGGTTTCCGCTAATCAACAGCTTTGAATCGTTTTGGAATCTCTTCACTGCTGTACCTGTTCTTGTTTGTGCATACCTTTGCCACTTCAATGGTAAGAAAATCTGATCTCATCAACATAACAACTTCACTCAGAATTATTAATTTGATATGAAATGGCGCTTGGTCATTCCCAATTATTATATATAACATCTAAGTACTTGCTTTTTTAACTGAAGAGGACAGTATTCTCAAATTAATTATTGGTCTATTATATCAACTTTTCATGTCTTGAAAACTGCGTACTTATTGAATTTGAATTGGCAAAATGATCCTCTGATATTCAGATATCTGTCTTTGCAGTTCATCCGATTCAAAATGAACTGAAAGATCCATGCCAGATGCAAGCAGTAGTTAGGACTTCCCTTTCACTCTCTGGAATAGTGTACCTTCTAACAGGCTTATTTGGGTTCTTGCTCTTTGCAAACTCCACCGCTTCCGATATTCTCTCCAACTTTGACACTGACCTTGGCGTTCCCTACAGTTCGTTGCTGAACAACATCGTCCGTGTTAGCTATGCGGGTCATATCATACTTGTCTTCCCTGTTATATTCTATTCCCTTAGACTAAATTTTGATGGCCTAATGTTTCGTCATGCAAGGCCCCTGGCGACAGATAATTGGAGATTTACGTTTGTCACGTTGACATTGATGTCTGTGATCTTGTATGTAGCTATATTCATCCCTAGTATCTGGCAGGCCTTTGAATTTACTGGAGCCTCATCTGGATCTTTGCTCCTATTTATATTTCCTGCTTCCATCGTCCTCAAGTACGTAATCTTCTTCATGTTCGTGATGTTGTTTTCAATTATAAATTGTTAATCATGTAACTCTGATTTTGATGTTCAAGTTTTGTGATATAGTATAAATCTGCTCAAGCTGAGTATCCTTACCTTTTCCACTTAAAAGTTTTTCATGTCTGCACACAGAAGGTCATGCTATAGAATTTGTGTAGCATAGATTGAAGAGCCTAGGCTTTATTGCTTTACCAACCCAGGACTACATGTAACAAGGCACAATGGCTCATCCTGATTAGTCTAACGACCCGTGTCCATGTGGCATTACCATAACAATCTCTAATAATTATTTCATAATGAAAGAATCGTTGAACCTCGGATGACCCTTATGGAATTTGCTTCTCTTTTGTTGTTTCAGGGACCGTCATGGAATAGCAACGACGAAGGACACAATCTTAGCAGTCTTCTTGATCTTTGTTGCTGTGTTAGCAGATGTGATTGCCATTTACAGCAATGTGAGATCTTTGATTCCAAAGCCTTCATGATCATGCCAAGTCCTGAACCAACATCATAGTGTTTTGTTGTATAGGTCTCAACTGGTTGTGTACCTAGAAAAAAGGGACACTGGATTACATTTGCCCAGAATTCACAAAATTTTGTGTAATTTTTACAATAGGATTATGTCTTTTATAACTGACCTGATGTAAAAAAAAAGTTGGTAGTAACTCACAATATTGAATATACCATTGAAGTATTGAACCATCTTGCACATAGCTACTTCAGAAAGTGCATATCTCTGAAACTACTACTTCGTATTTAAACTTTTGAAGTTAAACAAAGATAAATGTATAAGATGTCACCTGCGTATGCCAAACAGTTTAGTTTAGTTTCTAAATTAATCTCTTGTAATCCTATCACTCAATTGTTCCATATACTCCGTAGTTGATGAGGATAAATTATAAAACTTTATTTAGAATAGTTACCTAATTTTGTATTCTCACACAAGCTAGCACATTGTGTATTCACGTGTGTGACAAGTATGACAACCATATATACACCGATATAGTCAATGGTTTACATGTAAGATCATATGCACCACCATATAGATCTCATAGACGGATACATAGTAATGATGAGAGGTTTTGGAATCTAAAGAATCTCAATGAGCTTTCTATAAAACTAATTGAGACGAAAAAGCATCGAAATCATCAAAAGGTGTACTTGCTATTGAAATTAGTATTGCTTCTTCTAGTGGTTACTGCAACTGTTGACAGGGCATTTTCCGGAATGACTCAAAATAAAAGCAAGCTACGTAATAGCATGGGAGATGGTTTGTTAAATGACACTTTAGTTACTTATTTGGAGAAAGATTTGTTCTCGAATATAAGTCTTGATGCAATTGTAAATCAATTCCAAAATATGCAAACTCGTCGTGAACATTTGTAATTTTTTTTTTAAGTACTTGTGTTGTAATGTAATAACATACATTAGTATGTAATTTTTAAATTTGATTTTGTATTATTTAATTTGTCTTGACTCATTTTGAACTTAGTATACATTGCGCTACCCCTGTCCCCAAATCCTGGATCTGCTACTAATTACATCTTAGATCCATATGCACTAATGCTGTAATACACGTACATATTCACATCGTGAACCCGGGAGTGCACCGGTAGGACAATGTGCACTGATAAAAACTATTTGCATGTGGCTTCCCATCAATCCATCATCCAACCACGACAACCACTATCCATCTATCCCACACTGGCACACATGACCATGTATGACACTAATTGATTATACTCCCTCTGTCCCACAATATAGTTCTTGTTTTTCTATTTTGGAGATCCAAAATGTTGTTCCTGTTTCTATTTTTGGATAGTATATAAAAACCATTATACTCTCATTTTTTTAACTCTATTAATTGAACTTTCTAATTTACTTTTAAATTATCCACTTGCATTGTACTTTTTTCCACTTTCTCTCTCTAACTTTTGTCTATAATTGTACTTTCACATTTTCCCCTTAAATTATCCACTTGCTTTGTACTTTTGTTTAGCTTTTTTCCACCTCTCCTCCCATTTCTTAAATACCGTGAAAAAAACACAATAAGAACTATATTATGGGACGGAGGGAGTATATATATATAAATAAATAATAATTAATAAATAAATAAAAACTTAACATCCTAGAAAACTTACAATTGGAGGGAACACAACTACCACTTGTAAGCAGACATGAAATTATGAAAATAAAGGCCTGTGTAAAATAGGTTATAGGTTCGAATCTCCCCTCTCTCAAACATACATGAAATTATGAAAAATAAAGGCCCGTGTAAAATAGATTATAGGTTCGAATCTCCCCTCTCTCAACCTTGAAACAATATACTGATGGCCCAAATGCCTTTTTATTTTTAATTTTTGTTTTTTTTTAAAAGTTAAAATTCCAAACATGGTTGCCTAAACTTCCATTTACCACACTATCTCTTCTCACTTTCTCTCTCCTCTTTTTCATCTACCACACTGATTTGAGGGCAATCTAGATTTCAAATACTGGAAGTGGAAACTTTGTTTGACCATTTGATGCATTCTTCTCTTCAATTTTGTTTTTTGCAATAGTGTTGGCCACCTCTTTTGTGTACATATGAGTCAGACCAGGTATTAATTATTACTTCCAATTTTTTTTTTTTTTTATTTTTTTTTTTTTTTATTTTTATATGATCAAACATCACACAATATATTACGTCACAATATCATTAAATAACGACGAACAAAGTACCATATAGCAAGTCTTAAAGTCTTTTTCATTACCTTTATATACAAAAAAAAATGTTGCCTTATACCCCTGATATGGCCTGATAGGGTCCTTCACCTTAGCAATTAATAAAGTGAGGACTGAAATCACCACCACCCAGTTTGGTGAGGACTGAATTCAGTGATGCCCAAAGCGGAAAATTCTCAACGCCATCCTTACATATACATGAATTAATTTTGTCAACAAACTCACTGAATTACTAAATCTGCATTTGGAGAGATAGCATTCCCTTGCAACGCCAAACGGATATAATCACATTCTTGTTGAGAAAAAGAATGGGCAGCAGACCTCTTCCATTCTCCCTCACGTGTATTTGGTAATAAATGGCGACTATTCAACATGCGATCAAGCGCAACAGTACTTTTTAAGAAATAACTTGCCCATGGAATCCAAGAACAGTATCTGGCACCTGGAAGATCATATTTTCTGCGAAGAAAAGTATCTGGCACCTGCAATAAGAAGCAAGTCTAACTCATTCCATTGTAGTTGGAGGGACGAGGCAGCTGAATATCAGCATATCAGATATTAAAATACAAGAGCAAACCATTTAATTTGGTATATGAATTACATCTAATATCACACCAAGTGGTGAAGAACTGAAGATCTTAAAACATCTTGTCCCTCTCTTACACAAACCCAACCCCTTGAAACCATCCCAAAGGACTGAAACCCAAACCCCACACACCTGAAAGCATCCCTAACCCAACCCCAACCACTCAAAACAACCCATAACCCAACCCCAACCACCCAAAACAACCCTTAACCCAACCCTCAATGCCCCAACCACCTGAAACAACCATGAGCCACCCAACCACCACATAGCCAATTCACCACCCACAAAACCCCACCAAAACCTCAGCCCCATCCACAGAACCCCACCCACACCTGCCCAAATGTCCACCTCTACCACCGGAAATGACCCTGCCGCCAGAAAACCTACCTAACCACAAATAAACCCCATCCATGACCCACTAAAACTTAGATCTATGAGATTAAAAAATGATATAAAGAGAAATAGAGGCGTCGGCGGCTGTTATAGCTATGGCATAGTATGGCGGTGGTAGGGGAAGGAAGTGCAGTGGTGGTGGTTGGAGAAGTGCAGTGATACTGTTGTAGAGAGAAGGGTGATTCCCTTTGTTATCTTCAAACAAGAAAGGATATTGAGGTTTTGTGTTTCTATTTCTCTTATATCCCTTTCTTAGACTCTTTCCTATTCCCTTATATAATTGAATGCCCCCTAATATTAATCATCAACCTACAAACTACATACATTGTATGATTATACCAAACCATGCAACATGCCAAGATTGCCAACATTACATCTACAAAAACCAACCAGCACATATCCCATTATCACTTACTTGTCTATGTGAAAACAAAGATATACGAAGTATCTGTTATTTTCTCATACAGTCATAGAATAACACTAAACTAAAACTGTCTCTGAAATCAACTATCTTTTTCCCCAAAACTCGAATAATACTTAAACAATTAATCATTAAATACATTAAATAAATGCTCTCTTACAAAGAAATACATTAAATATTACTCTGAAAAAGTTAACCATACTAACCATCAGGTAAAGCTTCTGTAGCTGCCAAAAGGAATTGAGAAGGCGAGGAAAACTCTTTACCATGTCAACTTCAGGATCTTCACTCTTGAAAATTAAACTTAACCGCACAACGCGCCGAAATAATGTGGATGGGTGAGTAGGTATTAAATGTAACTGAAACAAAAGAAGATTATAGTGAATCTAGAGAAAGCACACTAGCCAATAACAAAAGAAAAACTGTTAAAAGTTTTTCACGCACCAGAGAATAAGGTCCTTCGAGCAAAAGTGTTTCTAGAGAAGGAATAGAAGTAGCCAAATCTCTGATAATACATTCTGCTCCTTTGTAGTTTTTATCTATGAGAGCCACATGGCTGCTCTTCAGCTTTGTATTACTCAAGAAAGAGAATTTTACAATTGCTCTACCAACAAAATCAAAGAAGTTTAGACTTTTGGCATTAAGTTCAGTTTCACGCAGGTCTGAAAGATCATGAATCATCAAAGAGCTCAGTCGCTGTAAATTTTCACCAATGCACAATTTTTCAGGAAGATTACACCACCTAATTCGTAACCATTCAATTGTTGAAGAAGTGGAAAGCATCCATTGTAACTGATTTTCCTCTAAAACTACATAATATAAATCCAGGCGAACCAATTTATTGAACCTGAAGTCACTATGAAGCTTCAAGTTGCAAACATCGAGACATAGATCCTTCAAACAAGGAAAGCGGGAAAGAATGGAACTAGTGATAGTATACATATTCTCGGGCCTGAAAAATGGAATTGAAGCATAATAACTATCAGAAATGAACTGGAGGGTAAGGCTTTGTAGGCGTACTTAGAAGCAAACCTAATCCAGTAGTCTACATGACTATCGTATTGCCTAGTAAAGGAAAACGAAATGCGAAAAGATGAGATGTCTTGATTGTCATAATCTAGTAAGACCTTATGCACGCTCTTCACATATGCTACTTGTTTATATACTTGAAGATATTCTACAGGAGAAAAGCCTGTGTATCTTGACATTACCGACCATTCCAGGTCAAGTTTTGGTAACGATAACCAGATATTTTTTCACCTTTTTGATAATGTAGTCATTCTCACAACATCGCGTAATGTCAAATGTGTGAGAATGTAAGACAAGATCTCATCTGGGAGGTCAGTGAGACGATCCCCGTGATTAAGAGAAATCGGAATCTCACCATCATCGGATGTCTTGTCAACCTATTCAACAGAATCTTGGTACAAGAATAATTCAGTAATTCCAAAATTCAAAAATATAAATAAAAAACATGCGATACCTTGCTAGGGTCTGTGTTATTGTTCATAATACATCTGAAACGCCTCGCCCAATGTCCACACAAAACAGCTGCAGTAATTACTAAATGTGGAGACATTCCTGGTAGAATAGACATTATTCTGCGGATTAGAAATGTTCAATCATCAATTATAAACAGCATATATCACAAGAATTCAAGTTTTAACCATAATTTTGAGCTTAATTTCACTGTAATAATTCAATAAAACAGAGACAGATTAAAATCCACTAATTTTGGGCTTCAGTGAGATTACTTAGTTCAATTAATCCACCACTTATGGAAAATCAAATGTCAAAGGTCAAAACTTTATTGAAGAGTTGACAAACGGAAAAGCCCTAATTATGGGCTTCACTCGAAATTAATCCACTACATATGAAAATGAAGTGTCAAAGATAAAAATAAATTGAAAATCCCTAATTTGGCCTATTGGATTATCTCGAAAAATCCATAATTTTAGGGATATTTGGTTCAATAATCAAATTAGGCTCATAATTTTCTTTTCTTTTGGTTATGATGTTTCATACTCTTAGAATTTAGGAGCAATTGTTCAGATTTTCGAACTCTACACTTAATGCATTGACAATTAAATTGGATTGTGAAAGTGATATGATAATAACAAAAACCAAACAACTTATCTCAGAAGCTGCTTCAATGGGGGATTTGGTTCATAGGAGAACTTCACTTTAATGGTGAACGTTGAGTGCTTTCAATGGATAGAAGGGTTCGAGGCTTTGGAGCCCTATTCAAATCCATGACCTGCCATTACATACTTAGATCTGTCTAATAAATTAATGGGGCGGGTATTTATATGATTGTTCAATTATGGAGTAGAGCGGGCTTTATAAGAATTTAAAGTAAACTTATTTTAAAAAGTACGGAGTATTAGTTTTTCTTTATCCTTTAATTTCTCAAATATTATTTTCACACACCAAAGTGACCAAACCTTGTAGAGTATCAATTGTTTGTAAGATTTGTTTTGGAATTTTTTATTTATTTTAAAAACGGATGAAATTATACTGATTAAACTGAGTTTACAACAAACTAAAAGAAAGTAACATAAGTTACTATAGGCATAAAAAGTCGTTACACAACACCAACAAAGGTCATTAACGACATTTACCTTTAAGTTATTACAACTAGTGCGGACAACGCAAACAAGGTTTACCAACTTACATTTAAACATGCGATGAGACCATTGATAGAATTGAGGAAGTTAGTGATGATGCTTCATGTGATACAAGGTCTTTTTCGAACATACAATTAAAAGTCTATAATTGTTGCTGAGATGACGGAGACTGCCCAAAATTGGTATGCCTTACCCTAAGGGACGAAACCATTTTCCAAAGTTTAAATGGATAAAATCTTCTTCACATCTTTGCTCATATCAATTACATTTCCTTGTGATCTGACAAAACTATCCCTTGTATTCTGATACAAGAATACAAGGTCATTACTTGGTTTACTCCGTATATTGTTAAACATATTCCAGTTATGAGAATGTTTAGCTAACGTCAAGGCTCAATAACCCCCAAAAATGAAGGTCCGTGTAAAATAGATTATTGGTTCGAAATTTCGAATCTCCCCCCAAAACAACATACCCACCCAAATTGACACTTGACCGCAATATTAAGCCCAAACCGATGGTCCAGAAGCCCAAATGCCTTCTTATTTATTTATTATTTTTTTTTTTTAAAGTTAAAATTCCAAACATGGTTGCCTAAACCTCCATCTACCATTCCACCACACTGTCTCTTCTCACTTTCTCTCTCCTCTTTTTCATCTTCCAAATTTGTCACTGTGATTTCAATTTCTGCTACTTCAAGCTCAATAATGGCGGAAAATGAGGTGAGTAAGGAACAACAAGCCCAACCCGACGAACTTTCCGATGCTCTTGACGATCTCTTTAATGGTGTTTCTACCATGATCAAATCCGAGCTTCAGGTTCACTTTTTCCCTCTTTTTATTTTTCATTTATTTTGCTGTTTTAGTATTTAGCATTGAAACAGCAGTAGTTCATAGAAAAGTTGTAGGATTACTAAATTCTTTGTTGATCTAGGGTTTATCAAATTCTCGAAAATTGATTTGAATTGATGATTGGAATTAAGTTTATTGGTTGATGAAGTTCGTATAATGATGATGATATTCGTATAGTGATGGATTGGTGGTAATTGCACGCTAGTAATTTCTGGAATTGCTGATTAATTTTTGGTTATATTGTTGTGCTTCATTTCTTTACCAACTACTTTGTATTACTTATGACGATTCATGTTAGCCAACCCGACTCTAAATCATTTTGGGACTAAGGCTTTATTGTTATTGTTGTTGTTGTTGTTGCTGTAGTAGTAGTTGTAGTATTGTTGCAATATATTAATTGAGCAAATTATTGAAGTTTACATGATTTGGTTTGTTGATTGGGTATCTGTTGGATGCATTTGAGAAGAAATTGGCATTGTTAGATCTCATTCATCTCAACAATAGCCCGTGGATTAGGAAGTGAGGCAGTATAATGGCTTGTTTTCTAGACTTATCCATTTCGGATTTCTTCTCTTGGACCAACATGAAAGTGTATTCATACAATGATACTACCTCTATAATTAGTCGTTTGAGTTAAGGGGTTGATTCTTGTAGATTTCAACGATTGATTTCGATCTTGTATCATAGTTATGGTAGCTCTTATGATAAATTTAAAATCACAATATACTTTGTATATTCATACTAATTTTATGTTGATCTAAATTAGCTAGCTTATGTTAGTACAAAGTACTTGTTATTATGAAGTATAACCATGATTTCCAAAAAATGAGTTAAAAGTTGGGATATGTTTGTTTTTACCTTTGAATTTTTGTATATGGTGCTTAACGTCTAAAGTTCAAAAATTGTTCCAATGGTTTAGGGATCAAACAACCTACTTGAACTTTTGGAGAAGATGAATCTTAAAGTTGCGGAAGAGTATAACAATTATGGTGATGTTGCTTCTGGCTTGAGGGTGTTTGTGGAACAATTAAAGCACAAGGGTGGTAATTTTGAGGGGTACATTCAGCAGATCGATGCTATAGATCAACAAGTGACAGAATTTGAAGCTGTAATTTCAATGCTTGACAAATATGTCTCTATGTTGGAAAAGAAAGTGCAATCTGCGTATCAGGTTCCACCATCGTAGTTATCAGGTTCCACTTCCAATATCGTAGTTACCGGGTTCCACTTCCACCATCGTATTTACCAGGTTTCACCATCGTAGTTATGGAGTATATCGGTATTTGTCAACAACCATTTGCTGACTTGTGTAAAAAAAAAAAAAAAAATTGAGTATTCAAACTCTTTGCTTATTTGTTTAGTAGTTTTCATTTTTAATTCTAGTATAAATGTGAAATTATAGAAGCATTTGTTTTGTGTGAGATAATGCTTCTGCATTAATCTCAGTTTTGTATTTTTTTTACGCAAAAGGGAAATATATTATATTACATCAAGGTGGAATAAACCACCTGCACAAAAGAAGGGTAGGTGAGAGCACTACTATGCTTCCCAAAGCTACCTTGAAGTTTAGTTATATTACACATTAAAGCAGTAAAGGCAGAAATATAAACTAGCCGATAGTTCAAAAAAAATTTCCTAACACAATTGCAGCTAGAGGTGTTACAGCAGTCACAAGCAGTAGCAGATTAAGTAGCAGAGGTGAGGTCTGGGATTTCTGCTGCATAATTCTCAAAGATGACTGCAGGAAGGTAATAGTAGGTCTCCTTCTCACCCTTCTTGACCTTTGATCTTCCAATTGCAGCAAGCCTGTCAGCAATTTGATTCACAGTTCTGCTTGTATGGAAGATAATCACAGTCCAGTTCCTATCCAAAAGGGAAGCAACATCCCTTATAATATTTCATAGATCATGATCCTTAAAAGAATCGGGATCCTTCAACATCTTGCGCAGAGCATCAGCATCTGTTTCTAGTTCTAAGTGCTTGATTTCCCTTTTCCAAGCTGTAAGTAGACCCTCCCTGATAGCTAATAATTCAGCAGCAGCTCCACTCATAGCATTGAAGTTTATGGCATATCTTTCCTGCCAGAGACCTTTGTTACACCTTATGACCCCTCCCCCACCCGCATTATCAAGTCCAATCCAAGAACCATCAGTGTTTAATTTGAAGAAACCCTTTTGAGGAGGGCCCCAGACTCTGGTAACTGGAGCACTAGAAGAAGGTCTATCCATAGTTCCCTGCTTTAAATTTAGAGAGAAAAGATAATCAACCAAGAACTTGTTGAAAGTAGATTGTATAAAAAACATTTTTTGCTCAAAAATAGCCATGTTTCTAGTTTTCCAAAGATGCCAAATGGCAACTGCAAATATGTTTTTCCAAGTTGAGTCCCTGGAAAGATTAAAAGCTAACCACTCTGCCAGATTTTAATTATAAAAAGAGTGTAAATCAAAAGTTGGAGAGTTATTTATTTTATGTAAATCTCAGTTTTGTAGTATGAAACTACTCCGATGGAATTGATTGTGCTAGTGTGAAGACGTATGTTATTGATCCTTTGTAATTCCATTATTAGAATTCTGCGTTTCTTTTGATATGCATTCACAGTTGTTTCCAGCCGTTTTTTTTGTTTGATATTCTACTAGTATTTGTTTCTATTTATTTATTTATTTATTCATTTCTGTTTTAACTTTTTCGTGAGACAATCACCAAAAACTTTTAAAAACAGAGGGTGTACAATTTCGATCTTTAATGATCAATAGATGTAATTCATGTAAATATTACTTGTATAATTGTAGTTAGTTTGATAAAAGAGTTTCAAATCTCCTATTTTTGTTATTGGTCTAGGTCTAACAAATTAATTTGTTGGAAGTATTTGATTTAACAACATTTGCCAATTCTTCAATGATTGCAATTTTACTAAATGAGGGTAAGATGGTTTCATTTGATCCACTTTGAAATCAAAAAAGAACTCAATACTAGTAATATATCTTTTGAGTAATTAAATACGAAGTAATTCGTAATAGGTCAATATTTTTTAATATTCTTTTAGAAATAGATAGTATGTTCTTTTCTAAAAAAAAATAAAAAATAAAAAAATAGATAATATGTTGGATAATTTTCAATTAACAAATTAATTTCACATGTGATACTCAATATTGGAGTATAACAAAGAAAAAAAGGAAAAAATATGAGAAAATCTAAGTTTATCCCGCTTGTTCATTACAAGGGCAAAACTGTAAACTTAACGATAAAAATGAGCAAAATCAGTTGTGGCAGTAATTTTACATTCACTACTTCAAATAAAATTTACCTTATTTTGCCTTATGATAAACGAAACTTATTTATCATTCACGGAAATTACTTTAAGGCGGCCTCCAAATATAATGCACAATTTTACTCCGTATGAAACAAGTCTTCCTGCAATCGAAACCCAAAGTAATAGCCCAAAATCCTCCATAATAAAAACTTTAAACGGAGGAATTTCTCTCTCCTCCCTTTCGACGATGGCGACAACCTCCACTTCCACCACCATGGATCCGCCTCCTCCTCCACCGCCGCCATCCTCAGACGCCGCCGTTGAAACCACCACTTCATCTCCTACTTCGTCTTCTTCCGCAGAAATCGAAGAAGCTCCAAAGGATTCATCAATGGCTCCTCCACCAAACCCTAAGATTTCCGTCGCCGAACTTCCGCCGCCTTCGTCTTCCGATGCCTCAGAGAAGAAGCCATTGGAGTCGTCTTCGAATAGTGTAAAGGAGAAAGTTCCAGTTTCAGTTCCTTACTCCGTTCCTCCATGGAGTGAAGCTCCTGCTCTTCCTTTCTTCCTCGAAGTTCTTAAAGATGGCGCAATTATCGATCATTATGACGTGTATTCTCTCTCCTCCTCTCTTTCTCTCTCTTCAATTCATTTGATTGATGCATTATATTGAATTTAATTCGTTTAATTTGATTTATTTTGAAAATTTTGTTAGGACGAAGAAAGGTGCATATATGTTTGGGAGGATTGATTTGTGTGATTTCATTCTTGAACATCCTACAATCTCTCGGTTTCATGCTGGTAAGTTTTTTGTGAGTTTAATTAATAATATGTTCTGTTTGAAATTGGAATTAGTTAGATTTTTTACTTTCCTTTAATTTAATTTATTGACATTACGATTAGAAGTCGTTCAACTTTGATTAATGTATCGTTTTAGCTTTCTTAGGCAGAATTTCGAGTTCAAGTAAACTTAAACGAGGTTAGGAGATTGAATACAGTAAAATATACAATTTCTAGGAGTTGCAGTCTTGCAGGAAGCAAATTGATAGCTGATTAGCATTATGTAATCAACCAGTATTTATTAGGGATCTAAGTTGCAGGTTGCATGTCATTGTGATTGATTTTTCGGTTTGAACTGTTGTTTAAATTTTTGATACCGGGACTTGTAATGATAGAACTCTGCACTTGATTCTCGGGGACATACCTGTACTATTATGCAGTGTGTTAATTTGACAACATCACCTTTTTACTTATAGTCCTACTTATGCTTTTTATATAATGTTGTTTATAACATGTATTCTCTTCCTTTTTTTTTTCTTCTATGCTAGTACTTCAGTTTAGAGGAGATGAAGCTGCATATATTTATGATCTTGGAAGTACACACGGAACATCTGTTAACAAAAAACAGGTATTGATTTGTGTGTACAACTTCCACTATGTATATGACTTGTACTTCAAGTTCCTTGTTGACAGTTGTTGTACTATACGATGAGTGATACTGACACACAATTTCTTGTCTTCTACTTAGGTAAGTAAGAAACAGTATGTGGAATTACGTGTTGGCGATGTCATCAGGTTTGGCCTGTGAGTATCTCTGCCTCTTGTGACTGCCAATTTATATTCAGTATGATCTTCATATTGCTCCATCCTATCTATCCCTTTATTCTTGTTGCACTCCCATTCTCATTTATTATTTTTTTCCCATAAAATGTGTTGCTTAGCCGGGCTGCAGGCTGCCTTACAGCTGAAGCTTCATATTTGTATAAATCCCCCTCTCCAATGGCCCCATTTTCCCCATCCCAAATTCAGTAAGGCTTACTTACAACCTCCTGAGATTTGACAAGGTGTGGAAGTTAGGGTTTGATTGTCCTCACCCCCTAGATGAAAGTGTCATGATAACCTTTTTGTTAAATTTTCTCATTAGTCATGTATTTTTGTCCAATATTCACACAACATATTCATGCTTGATTGTTGACAATAATGCATCTTGGGTATAGAGTTCATATGGCATATACATCTTACTACTTTCATTTCCTTATTTTTAACTGATACCTTTTTGTTTCTTTGTTTGCAGCTCTACTCGATTATACATATTCCAAGGTCCAGAAGAATTGATGCCTCTAGTAAGCCTTCATTCTATTATTTATTTATTTATCTAGGTTTCAATTAATTCTATGATTTCATTAAATTTTCCTGTTATACGTAGTAGTTTGTTTCAACTAGACCACAGTGGACTGTTTATGATCTCCTGGCCTTGCTGTTAGAAATATGAAGGTCTTGGGGTTGCGGGGAAGGGGAGGGGATATAGTTTAGCAAATAAGGTGTGGTTGACTGCCTTGTATGTGAAGTTTTTAGAAGCCTTCTAGCGACCACTACATTTTTATTGCCCGTTTAAGAATCCCATTGGTCAAACGCCAAAATAAAACCAACTTAAAGATGTGGGAAAAAGGTGAGGGTTGGGGGACAGGAGGGAAGCATATTCTTCTTCTTCTTTTTTTTTTTACTTGCCACATTTCTCATTTCATGCTTGCCAATGCATTAATTTAATCATATATCTCTTGTTATCGATAAGTAAAAATTTTAATAATTTGATTTTATGAAAGTATAAATCAAGATGAATCTATTATCTCACATGACTATAATTTTTCTTTATTGTAAATCATCATCGGGCTAAAGTCTAAATTTTGCAAGTGAAAAAAAAAGGAGGAAGTATGTCATAGCATGTGTTTTAGTGTTTTAAGTGACTGGATTAATATAGTTAGCCCTCCTCATTTCAAAATCATGTCAGATCCTTGCTTGCTTATACTATGGTAGAGGACAAGTGGATGAAAAGGTTAATAAGTAACCTACCATTGCATTTTTGTACATGTTTTGAATGAAAAGAGTGAATGTTGAAGTGTTGTAAACTTGTAATGACCATGAATGTATCCCCCTCCCTTGCTAATTAGCTATGCCTTTTCTTTTGTTCATATTGCTATGTTTTGGTAGAATATTGTGATATCCTTGTTTTTACTTGATATTCTTCTTATTGTTGGATATGGAGGTGTTTATAACCCCGGAAAACTATCAGATTAGTTTACTCTGAGTCTCAGACTGTTATTGGTTTTGATTTTTGTGAATGTAAAGGTCGTAATATACTTTGACTATCTTTTTGGCTTACTTGGTAAATTGAAGCCAGATGTTTGGTGCATGCGACCTTGCCATTAGCATTGTAAATTGAGCTTTTGTTCTACTATTTTGTACTAAAATGTATCAATCATTATCTTGTGAACTACACTTTACTTTAAGTAACTGACCACCAAGACTTTTTGCTCTTGAAATAGGAATGATGGTTTCCTCTTGACAAAGTTTCTTAGTTTGAACAATATGCAGACTGAAATTAGTCTAGCTACTTCAGATCTTTACTGAAAAAGGTTTATGGAATTATGAGTAGGTGTGCAAATTTGTGAATATACTCGCATAATTACATTATTTCATAATTGTTCCCCCTAGATTATGTTCCTAAATATTGCCTACTTATCTTGCTAGTTGAATCTTTAGCTCTTACTAGTACACATGCCATTTTAATGCTTATATCTCTTTTATGCTCTCTCTTTTGGTAGGAAGCCGACTTGTCAAGTATCAGGTATGCTAAAGATCGAGAAGATTCCCTTCGCAGGGCTAAAGAAAATGCATCTCATGGGGATGGTATTCTTTGGGGCATGAGAGAGGATGCTGTTGAAGAAGCTGAGGTTTGTTGAAATTATTTCTATGATTGTTTCAAATTGCAAAATAATGTGTTGTTGTATACTATTTCTTTGAGTAAATTAGAAAAACTATCAACGATATGAATACTTCATATTCAAGAATTATTTTGCAAATCCAAGTCCCAAATAAGTAGTATTTATTTTCTATGATTGTTTCAAATTGCAAAATAATGTGCTGTTGTATACTATTTCTTTGAGTAGAAAAACTATCAACAATATGAATACTTCATATTCAAGAATTATTTTGCAAATCCAAGTCCCAAATAAGTAGTATTTATTGTCCATGACCATGTTTAATGCAAAAGACTATCTTTAATAAAGACCAAGGTAAGGTCATACAAGCCGAGGCCTGCCAATGGCATCATTTTGCCTTGAGGTTAAGGATAAGAGCGAGATTAAGACATCATGTCATTGCCAATTAATGTTGAGGAAAGCTTGTAAGACCTATTTGGACACAACTTTAAAGTCTTGATAGGATCTTGATGTCACAAGACTGTAAAGTCTGGTCTTGATAGAAACTGTTAATGCACCTCCTTGGATAGCTTGAAAGTATTTTGGACCTTATAATATATGTCACACTCAGGGATTAACAGAAACCTATTTTGGATATTGGTTGAAATTTGAAAGTCTCAATGGAATTTTGAGAGGAGTCACTTCAGCTTTTCAATAAATTGTGGAGGTTTCTTATGGTCCTAATTAGCCACAGAGGCAACAATAGTGGACCAATAGTGTTTATTAAAGTTTAGCTCACACCTTCCATTTCTGAGACCATTCTGGAGGCTGGCTAAAGATTTCAAGAAGAACTTGAGGAAAGCCCCGTCAAGCTGCCCAATGAGCTCTGACATTGTATACGAGTACCATATCCGGGATTCATTGCTTGGAAAATGTCTTACACCTTTAGAATTTCTTGATATTGGACCGAAGTCTTCTTGGCTTATGAACACTGGCCAGTTTTACTTGGAGTTATGCATTATGGTCCCACTTGGAAGGCTACAAGTCAGTTAGGAGTTTCCTTTTGTAATGGCCCATAAATGTAGACATAAAAGTAAACCATCCTGGATTTCTTCAGTGGCTGTTGATGACTGGAAACCTTGTATTGGTTGCTTTGACATGTGGCTGTACCTTATGCTTGAAAAGATCCTTTACAAACATTGGTAGAAAGTATTGGGGCAAGTTCCCAGCTCTTAAGTGGCCCATAATTTTGGGTCTCACTTTGTCCATTTGGAGTCGTAGACCATGCACTGAAACAAAATGACCGCAGCAAGCACTTTTTATAGTCCATCCATGCTGTGAAACCATCCTAGGAACTTCTGGGTGAAAAATTATACTACCTTTGTTTACATTTTATCTTAACATTTACTATTTACACAGATTTTAAGAAAATCGATGGGAGGGTTGGTGGGTGTAAGAAAGAGGCGGTTAGAGTAAGAAAGAGAATGTAATAAGATGGGTGGGTGTAAGAAAAAAGTAGATAAAGTAAGAGAGAGTGAGTGGAAAGGTGAAGATATTGTTAGGTAAGAGGGGTCATGTAGTAAAAGAGGTTTTCAAAAATGGAATAATGTGGAAGTGTTAAGAACTTTTGGAAAGTAAAAAACCAAAGTGCCAGTAAAAAAAAAAAAAAAAAAAAAAAAAAAAAGAAACCAAATTGGAAAGTATTAGGATCTTTCGGAAAAGGAGGTAGTTTATATCATTCCCTGTCTTTATACCCATGTCCTAACTTATTAAAACCTACAGTATTGGATACTTGAATTTGTATCCGTATCTAAGTCTTGGTAATGTAGGGCAAGCCTACTATAGTTAACATTTCCTGCAACTCTTATAGCTCTTATAAGGACTCAATTTAAGAGTTTCAATGGAGTCATCAGATGGGCTAGAAGAAAACATAGTGGGAACAAGTTCACAACAGGAGTATGTGTATGTCTCATTGGAATTCAAGCAGCTAGTTACCTCATGTGGAATGCAAGGAATGGTGTTTTGTGGAATCACATTATTTGTTTTTAAAAATAGAGGTATACCTGTAGCAGCTCATTAAAGAGGATATTTAGTATAAAATTCAGTCTCATGACTCAGAAAATCAGGGCTAACAATAAAGATTGGTTTGAGTCACATTCACATTTTTGTAATCATGCTTTACTGTAAATATTTGTACAGGTATAACGTCTGGGTTGTCTTGTTCTGGTTATACTATTTGGTCCTTCCTAGAAGGTTTGGAAACACAGACCGAATTTTAGGTTGTAAAAACGTGCTGGTTCTGAACATGCTAAAGCTTATTAAAATTTCTTATGATTCTAATGAGGACTAGAAATTAAAAAAAAAAAAAAAATGTAAAAATAGGCCGGGCGATCTGGCGAAATTAAAATCGCTGGGCTCGCGCCCGGTCGAGCGAGATTAAGACTCCAAGTTCGCTTCCTCTCGCGCCTGGTCGGGCGGGTGCTTGCTCGATCGGGCGAATTTGACTCTTTTTCGATCTTTGTTCTCGCGCCCGGTCGGGCGGATGTTCGCCTGGTCGGGCGATTTATAGGCCAAAATCCTTCTTTCTCTCGCGCCCGGTCGGGCGCGCTACAGCACTGTGAGTCCGATTTTTCCTTCTTTTCTTCAAAATTTGGCTAACTCTTTTTCTCTAACCTGTAGGGCTAGTTGAGGACCACAAGGGAGGACCACATTTCCCCTTGTTCGCCAAGCAAAAGCCCTCCCCACTAAGCATACGCCACATGGCTGCCCTTTGCCTTGGGCAACAAGGGTGCCTTGTAGGCTGCCCTTGTTCTCTCGGCTAGGCCAACAAGCATAGCAGGCCTGCTTGCTTGCTGCTGGGCGCTGCTTGCTTGCGGGCTGGCCTTTCGGCTAACAGCTAGCGCTACTAGCACGCATGCTAGCTTGGCCTATGCGAGGGCTTGTGCTGCGATAGCACGCCTAGCCCTGCATGCCCTAGGAAGTATGTCTTGCTTGTGTAGGCTGATTAGGATGTTTGATAGACGAAATGCTATAGTTTTTTCCAAGGCAGATGCATGCATTAACACATATTCGTGTCTTTACTAGAGAAGATGGGATGTTTTTTTTTGTTTGCCAAACAGTACATTGGAATGTTAATACATGCTAAAAAGGCATGACACAGTTTATTAGAAAGCTGAAAGAATCAAGAGACAGAAAACTATATGATAAGAAATTCCTTGTACTCCTTTCACAAGATTGTTACACTTTCCTTGTTTCGCTGTTTCACAAAGATTGTTACACTTCACTTTTTCTAATGCTTTGTTACTCGTACTTCTTTAGCCACTTTTCCCCTACTTAACGTTTTTTTTTATTCTTTTCTTACAGCATTCCACTACATATGTTTTTTTTTTAAAAATTCTTTCTCTTACAACATTTCACTAATTAAATTACTGTATTTTTTTTCTTACAAACATTCCACTACTTCATGTATTTTTTTTTTCTTACAAACATTCAACAAGTGAACAGTAACAACCTTTGTGAAAGGGAGAGACTTGCTAATAATTTTACTACAGCTTTCTTTTTTTTTTTTTTATTTTTTTTTAAATTATATATATATATAAATATTATTCTTCTATCTGTCCCTCTTTCTTCATGTATGTTTAAATTTTTTTCAGGATGATGGTGATGAGATAACATGGCAAAATTACAAAGGAGAACTCACTGAAAAGCAACAAAAAACTCGGGAGAAAGTCTTGAAGAGAATGGAAAAGGTTCAACATGCAGATCAAATTTTATGGTTTCATTCCCATGTCAATTACTTGGATTTTTTTTATTTTTGCAGGCACTATATTGCTTTAGTTTTATGTTTCTGTTAATGAGGGCGGTAGGGATAAATAGCCTCAGCATGTGCAGTATAATAATTCTCCTGGAAATTTTGCATCTCAAACCTTTATGAATCATATATTGCTTTTTTTGTTGACCCTTTTCTGCAATGGAGGTTTTATGACGTGAGAATAGAATGAGAAATATCCCTGTTGTGTTAATTGTTTTACTACTTTCGCTGTAGATCGCACATATGAAGAAAGAGATGGCTGCAATCCGTGCCAAAGATATATCCCAAGGAGGGTTGACTCAGGGACAACAAACTCAGATTGCTCGGAATGAGCAAAGGATATCACAGGTTTGACAATCATATCTTGTTGAATATATGCTTCAGATTTTCTGAACTCTTTTGGAAAAAATATTCTCTATATATAGATACTGGTGGGGCTCAAGAGTTTTCTCTAGAACTTATTTTCGTTCTACTTTTCACAGATACTGGAGGAGCTCGAGAGTTTAGAAGAAACATTAAATGACAGTATTCGAGAAAGTATGGGAGCACGTTCTGGGAAGTCATCTCGTGGGAAGCATAAGGGATTTGCCGAAGATGAGGATGAGCTTTTGAGGTAAATATTCTTGAGGTGATTTGAGTCAACTGTGCTGCACACTACAGCGTTGGAGATGTAGCTCTTTTTTTTTTTTTTTATATGGAAATGAAATTATGGTTGATGATTTCTCACAAATTTGAATGTTTAGTGATGATGATGAGTTTTATGACCGAACAAAGAAGAAATCGGGTAGCAAAGCGACCGATGCACAATCAGTTGAGACGGCTGATTCTCTTTTGGATAAGAAAGAGGCATTGCTGGATGAAATTGATGAGAAAAATAAATTGCTTCTGGAACAGAAGCATAAGGTATTGGAACCTGTGGTTGAACAAGATACGGGGGATGTGCTTGATGCCTATATGTCTGATCTCTCAACTCAGCTTGGTAAGTTTTCTTTTCTTGATATCCTCTTAAGGCATATTTGATATATTTTTAAAAGGGCTGTTGTCACTGTCTCTCTGAATGCAACCGCTAAGTAAACAAATGATAATTATTTTGGTCACCTACTGACCTTTTCTCAACTCATGGATGATTAAGGAAATGCCAAGTTAAAAGTAAATGCTGAATTTTTCCAAATCAACTTATAGTGTTATTAAGTTGTTTTTGCATGCTTATGTGGTATTCAATATTAGTTGGTAGACATGGTTAATGGCAGTTCGGGTCAAGGTAATTGTCGGTCAATACAAGTTTGGGTCATTAAAGGGTTTGCTTTATAATGGATAAGATTGGCCAAAGTAGGTTCATAGCAGGTTGGTAGTGGGTGGGCAGGCCAATAAACGAGCAAGGAAAAATAAAGTTAGGGGAGAAAACAATTAAGTGAACTTGAAACCGTACATTTTTCTTTTTTTTTTTTTTTTTTTTTTTTTTTTACTGATCATAACTATTTTCTTTTCCAAAATCATTGGGCTACCATTTTGGCCCTATATCTACGCTGTCCTACTAAAGGCCTTTAACTTTGACACTAAAAATATATCTATTGGGTTGCCCTGCCTATTTACCAGGTCTATTTGTAAGGACTTAGAAAATTGCAGTATGAAGGATTTCCAGGATGAATCTAAGTTATCTGTAACACTATAAAACCATGATGATGTTTTGCATTGTGGCAACACCTGTAAAATTCTCAGAATGTACATTCTCATGATGCATAATTGTACACTAAGAAGGCCATTCTTATATTGTATTAATTTGTTATATAGAAGCAAGTTGGCTACAATTTGTCTTACTTTAGTGTTACTATTTTATTTCAACCTTGCTGACGGTTTGTATTTATGTTTAGTTATTGATAAGACTGTGCAAGTTGAGAAGGATATATCTTCCCTCCAGAAAGAATTGGATAGGATAGTTTACCTGCTGAAGATAGCTGACCCTACTGGAGAAACTGCTAAGAAACGGGCGACAACACCCAAGGAGCTTAAGTCTAAAGAATCTGCATCTTCTAGTTCTGATGTTAAGAAACTTGAGAAATCCAAAGTTGGACAAAATAGCGCCAGTCAGACTGAAAAGCCTGTTAGTAGTTCTGCAGATCAAGTAGCTCCTGGTGTGATTAAAGAAGTAAGCGAGGCATCAAAATCCAAAGAGAATGTAACTGATGCAACAGAAAATAAACCAACTACTTATAAAATTGTAAAGCCTCAGTGGCTTGGGGCAGTGGAGGCCAGGGATAGTAAAGAGAGCCAACTAGAGAAACGATCCGACACCGATGAGGGTGATGAGACTGATGACTTTATTGATTATAAAGAGAGGAAGAAGATTTTAGAAACTGATTCTGAACCTAGAAAGAAGCCAGAGTCTGATTTGGAAAGTGCTGCCCCAGGTCTTATATTACGGAATAAGAAGCCAGCTGAAGTGAGTGAGGGACCTGAGGGTCAAATGTCAAACCCATCAATTCCTGAACCTATAGGAACTGATATGAATGTGGAAAATGCTGTTGCTCTATTGTTGAAACACAAACGAGGAATCTATACAGGGGAGGAAGAAGCAGACCTCAGAAGCCATGGCAGAAAAGCTCAGAAGAAATCTGGGCAAGATAATAAAAGGGCTAAACGGGTGCTAGGCCCTGAAAAACCTGCTTTTCTGGAGAAACGTCCAGAGTCAGACTATGAAACATGGGTTCCTCCAGAAGGTTAGCTATCTATCCATGTGTCACTGTTGATCTCATATCTATTGATGGTTGTTTGTGCTGATTGTGTGTTTCTAATACCTTATGCAGGACAATCAGGTGATGGCCGAACATCATTGAATGACCGTCTTGGTTATTGATGGGAGCTGTATGTGCACAATTTTAGTATCAGTTTTGCCTTACAAGCACATAATTGACCTGGAGAGATTAAGATTCATAATTAGATGCTTGAGCATCTTGACCTTGCCACCATTTTCTTACAGCCTGGCCTATGATATGGATCTCCCTTTCGGACTCTAGCAATGGCTCCCCTACCAATGAATGGCTGAAGCAAAATACAGGATGCTTTGTATTCGCATGTTTCACATAGCTGTGACGTCCTGATGGCTGATGTTTGTCTTTTCTGCCTCTCAAAGACCTGCAACTTGGAATGACTCCCGCCATTAACTTTTAAAGCTTTTGAACAAACAGGGATAGGTACATTATTGAGATAGTTTAAGAGAAACTGGGTTTGCTGAAACCAAGTTAATTTTTGGTTGTGTGAGCAAGATGAGAATGATGAAGGGCGTGTAGACAACAGTCTACTGTATATCTTTGTAATCAGAGATTTAGAGCTTTATTTACTATGAATATATAATAGTAACAATTTTTTTTTTTTTTTTTTTTTTTGTTTTCCATTTTACTGTACTTTAACATGCTTTGACAGATGATCTTCATAGAGGAGTGTGTTTTTATAAATTCACTAAAAAAAATAAAATTATATTACATAATCTTAGTAGTTGAGCTTGATAATGCTTTATTATCAATAAATTATTTATATACAAATATTATTAAATTAAGGTTGAATGTTTAAATTTAGGTCACAATTGTTCTACCTTGTCCAAAACTAGTCGCAATAAGATTAATTACGGAGTAAGTTTTTTAATTGTAAAGCACTTATGATTTACTCTCTTCGTTTCAAAATAATTGACACACCTAATTTTTTTTATTTTGTTATCAACTTTGACCATTTTTTATTGCTATTATATAAAATGAAATTTTAATAAAAACTTGATATTCCAATAATATACGTTAAAATAAATCGAACAACTTATTTGATGAATTAACTCAATTAAGACATCCTCATATTCATGTAAAAGTTGAATATGTATTTTGATGAATAACTTTACTTCTCTAATCTCTTTTTCTGATCTGCCCTCGGATTAAAAAAAAATGACTGCGTCTATCCTGACACGTGTGAAGCATGATTAAACATTTAAACCCACTTTACTATACACGTGTAGTGCTGCAATCATGTCTTTTTCTTTTCGTTTCTTCTATTCTTTTCCTGAAAAATGCAATTGAATTTTTATTACAGTATTTACTTTTTTTTTCATAAAAGGGAAATATATAAAAAAAAAATAAAAAATAAAGAGAAAACAACAAAAGCTGGAGAGCACATCTGCTACGGTGATTCCAAGCAAACTGCAGTTTCTGCTTCATCTCTCTCTTCCACAAACCCCACTACACAATTCCTCTTAAAAATTAAGGTAAATATTTCATTTTTGATGATTATTTTCAATTTCTATTTTAATTTAATTGTTCACAATTCAATGAAAATGGAGCTTTGAAATCTAATTATAATTTTGGGAAGAAGCTCATTGATCTGGGTATTTTAGTATTAGATGCCGATATAATTGATGGGTAGTTTCTATTTTTTCTTGTAAAAATTGTGTCTTTATTTGATGGGATTTTATGATACTATAGTATAAATTAAAGGTGGTTCTTGTGAGCTTTTTTTAGTAGTTGTAATGGGGGTTAATTTATGGAAATTTTAGAATATTTTGCAATGTGATGGGATTTTAATTTTCAATTTTTATATTATTTGCATTAATTATTATGACTATAATTATTTCCTTCATATTTAATGTGATTGATTTACATCATTTATTAGGACTGCAATACATAATAGGAGTAGTTTTGATGTTAATATTGATATTGTTTTTTTTTTTTTTTTTTTTTTTTTTTGTGTGGGCCAATTTGCTCTCCCCACCCTCCCAAATCTAATCTGTGTTGCTTTTTATACTTGATGAAATCAGGGGAAAGTTTGAATAGTAGGCATTAAACCTATGCTTATAATTATGTATTTTAGTGAACAAATCATTGTAAATTCAACTTATAGTATGTATTCTATTGATTTATTGAGCTTATACAGGAAAGGCATGTATTTTTCCGGCTTTTACTTTTCGAGATCAAACTTGGACTATTGTTACAAACCCCACAATATAATGTCATTTGTAGTTAAATGGGCGATCTGCTGAATACTAATTGCAGAACTTTGAAGTTTTTGTCATAATCAAACCGGTCAGGCTCATAATGTGTGTTTTCATTTCCTTCATCTCTTGTATGTTGCTTTGTGGCATGATTTGCAATATGACAAATTGCCGATACCTTTGTTCTTTGTACTCTCTCAGCTTACCACCATCCTACCGAGACCAAGAGGAATGCGGGGTGGAGGGGTTGGGAAGGGGTGCTAGATTACAAAGACACTATTTACTTGATGAATGTTCTTGGTAAACATGTGCTTTTACTTAGAAGTTAGAACTTACAGGCTCTTTTTTGTCACCATCTTTATCAGGCTTTGAGACAAGATCAACAATCAACATCATTTAGATGGATACAAATTCTGTTCATGATACAACTGGTTCAGTTGTCGAAAATGATCTTGGTGGTAGCATAGAGGCAGTATCAATTGCTAAGGAGAAATCGGAGGATGCCTCATCTAATAAAGAGGTGAAACGAGAGGCTGGGAGTGCTATAATTAGGATCGAGCTGGATATAGCTTGTTGTTCAGAGAAGCTGGCTAATTTGAACCAACTTATGATGCATGTATCAGCAAGGGAGAATGACTTTGAAGATTTTGCTTCAGCAAAAGATGAGGATACATTGGTTAATTCTGATGGGAGGGCACTGGAATTTGATATTTTATCTGGAATATTTGATTCAGAAGTCAGGGAGATGGCTATCTTCATTGGTAAAATAAAGTCAGAGATCAATAATACTTGTGAAGTAATTTCTTCACACAAACATCTAGGAGAAGGTTTTTTGGCATTAGGAGAGAAGTTGCGTGATGCTGAAGAATCAATAAAGCAATTACAAGAACAGGTCTCAGAATTGATGGCGCAATCTTCCAATTTCCAGAAGATCTTATCAGGTGTCAACCAAGAGGAAATGTGTAAGAAACCCTTTCAATTTGACTAATTGCACTAGTTTTCATGTTAAAGAACTGTAATTTAACTTGTTCTTGTGGAAGGGAAATTTAGGTATTGGTGCCAGTATTGTTGGTCAAGCTTGTGACTTCTGGTATATTTATGGTTAAGAAAAAGAACATGAAAGTAACACTGTGTCCTTGTATTTCTAATGTGATTATTGGCTCGAAACATATGAAAGATTTCTCCAATGCTTGTGCATGATTTATTTTCTGTTTCCTGTTTTGCTGACGGTGAAGATTATGAGCTATATGCTAGTCGATAGTGGTTGGATCCTCAAGATATTTTTACTACATCTTACATGAGGTCCTTGTCTTTGTTCTTTCTGATTGCAATCCTTCCCAGTTCTATCAACAATGTCTATGGTGTGTAACTTAGAAGCTTACTTCCTGAAAAACGTTGTCCTGTGATTGTGTTTTCCTTGCCTATCAAGTTATGGATCATGATAAACTTCTCGAATTCCCAAAAAGAAAAACAATAAATTATGTTTCTGAGGTAGTAATGTGTCATTAATGTTCACTTGTCTTTCTAGATGTTGTAATAAAATTTTTAATACAGCTGATGAAGACAAGGAAGATTCAGGGGATATTGACTTTTTAAACACGATGGCAAAGCTGAAAATACAAACCTCGCAGACACATACACTGAGGATGCTGGAAAAATCTTTGGCAAGAGAACTTGAACTGGAGAACGAACTTAAAGAATGTATGGAAGCTCGGAATGAGATGAAACTCAAGATTCGTTTTTCGCAACAAAAATTCTTGTCTGTTGAAGAAGAAACCACAGCTGTCTATTCCCGTTTCTTGGAGGCTGACATTGCTTCAGCTTTGCTCATGGGAATTTCAAAAGAGTTAATTGGTAAGCTCCAATCAAGCCAACTACAAATAAATTGTGCACTTCGCAGAGAAAATGAAATGAACACAGAGTTTCAAGAATGCACAAAAACTGTTCAAAATATGGAGGAAAAAAAGGCTGCTATGCAGGAACTTGCAGAAAAAAACAGATTGGAGGCCTTGTCATTGAAAGAGAAGGTGAATTTCTTGGAGGAGCAGTTAAAAGCTTCAGAATCTGCAATGGTAAATGGAAATGCTTCTTTGGATGGCAAGAGTGACCGGATTAAAGATTTGGAAGAAAAATTCTTCATAGCTGAAAGCAGGGTTCAGAAGGTAGAAGCTGAATCCAAGTCGCTAGAAGAAGCTAATAAAGAACTTAATGAGAAACTGGATTTTCTGAAAAGTAGTGGAGTCTCTGTTGAGAAGGTTAATTCACTGGAAAAGCAACTAAGGGAGACAGATATACAACTACAAGAGGCTATGGCATCAGTGGAAGCAAGTCAGGAGAAACAAACCATGTTGTATACTTCGATTGATGACATGGAGATTTTAATTGAGAAACTGAAGTCAAAAGTGTTAGAAGCAGATGCTAGGGCTGACAGTGCAGAAGATAAATGCATTATATTATCCGAAAGCCATGCAGAGCAGAATGAAGAGTTGGTTTTCCTTAGGGGTAAATTAGAATGCTTGAAGGCATCTTTGCAACAAGCAGAAGAAACTAAACGAGCAACTGCAAAGGATATAAGTATTCGTAGCAAAGTGATAACAGATATGGTCATGCGGCTGGCCGTTGAAAGAGAACGCCTTCACAAACAGGTAATTTGTTGATTGTCTCATATAATGTATGAATGTTGGAATATGCAAATTTCAGTCGTACTCTCTCGTCAGTTGTTATTTGCTTAGGGTTCATTGTGTAACAATCTTCAGTTTTCAAAACAGCTTCTGTTATTGAATATTGAGTCTTAGTGAAGTCAAATCAGTGGTATAGTGACATTTGCTGTTTTTCAAGTGTGTGCATATAAAATATGTTAATATACGTTATATTAAGTCCTTAAGAGCTGGAATTCTGGAACTGTGTGGCTTTAAATCTGTTTACCTTTCTATTTAGGTATGTGAGTTCTAAGATTTGTCATCGTTGTTATGGCTGATGATATATTGTATGTGCTGTATATCTTGAAACAGAATACATTGCATGATTTGAGCCAACTTCAAACTGCTATTGCACAAATTTGATGCACATAACCATAAGAAATTTGGTGTAGTCCATGAATATGTCCAAGATATAATCTTCTGATTATGTTGTGTGCAGCTATCACGGTTAATGATGGAAAATAGAGCTCTTGTAGATAAACTACACATGGCAAACAAAGTCTCATCCAATTCTATGAATCATGAAGTTGGGGAAACTGAGGAAGGGGTTCTATCTTCTGCGCATCGTGTGCATTCTGCCAATGATGGGAAAGAAATTAAAGAAGAGTCTGATGCTGTAGAGGTATGAGTGGAATCGTCTTTGCAAATACCTCAATATAGTGATGGAGGTGACAAATTTACTTCACAAAATATCATTATAATGAAATGATAAGGGTGAAATGAAGATAATCATTGAAGGAATACATACCACATTATAATAAAATGTAGACTAATTTTTGGTAGGTGTGGTCTCTGTGTGAATTTAGCTTTGAAATTTACCATTTTTTTTAGAACCATGCATTCTTTTTGGGTTTGGTTGGCTCCAGTAGTTTTGTTTTTTGTTTGTCAATATTTACTGAGCGTTAATTTTTAATTAGACAAGAATTGCAGCTAATGTTTTGACAAACAATAGATTTTTTTTTTTTGGCGGTGGGGAATTGCTAAGTTTAGATGTACCTCAGTCATACACACACACATATATAGGACCGGGAGTGTCACTTTGCACTAAATTTGGGGTCTTTGCTTTCATTTTGATATGGTGCTTATGATAATGCATTACTGATACATAGTAATTTATTCTGTACAATCTCTAGGCACAGAAGTCTCCAGAGGATGTTTTGGACAGCGAATTCAAGTCGGAACCACAGAATTTGGACTCCAAGCTTGAAACAGTTAGGACAATTGATGCAGGGCGGCTAAATGTCAAGTATGTAATTTCGGCAAGTCTTGTAGTGTTAGTTGCAATTTTGGCAGTGTGTTTTCTTAAAGCAGAAAATTGCCCGTTTTAGTGAGGAACTTAGGTTCGGCTTTTGCAGTAAAGCGCGTGTAATTTTTAGTGAATTTTGCAGCGGCTAGTGCATCCTTAGATTACTACACAGGCTAGTTGAAAATCCAATACTCTTGAGTACATAGGTTATAGGTGGAATATTTTTGGCCAATACACTATTACCCATTTTTTTATATTGGGAAGAAGTTGAGAATTCAACCTCCTTTATGGTATTCTACTTGAAACTTTTCCATAGATTTATCATTAATGCACGCAATTGTTTCATATGCATTTTTCCTCTTTTATTTTGGGAGAATAGTGAGACTTTTCATCTTTCTTGATTTTGGAATTTGGCAGCATTTAAATGTACCATGGATAATTCCAACTGCAGCTGTACTGAACAGTTTTTGCATTATTCCTAGCCTTTGGGTTATCCATTTGTCTTCCTATCCAACTCTATAAATTGATCCTTCCCAAAAAACCGTCTCTTATAACCCTATTTCTATCCATAATATCTGAAATCTGAAAGAACCTTTGCTGAAGTGGATTGCTAAACACCGCCATAAAAAATGATCACCACCGCCATCATTTGGCGGAAATGGACAACCATGCCCTTACTACTTCACCACCCCGCCCTTATCCTACCCGGCGACCCACCATCCCTTCCGACCAGCGACGACCACCACCATCCTGACCGGCGACCCACCACATCACCCTCTATAACGACCCACCACATCCCACCATGCCCTTACTACTTCACCACCCCGCCCTTATCCTCCCCGGCGACCCACCATCCCTTCCAACCGGCGACGACCACCACCACCCTTACCGGCGATCCACCACATCACCCTCTATAACGACCCACCACATCCCCCTCTATGACGACCCACCACTTTCCCTCGCCAGCGGGAAGGTGGCGGCTTTTTTTTATTTTCGGCAACCGCGGTAATCGGAGCCCAAAATCGGTTACCGTGCGCGGTAATCGATTTCCATGGTAACCGAAGCCCAAAACCGATTACCGTGGCCGGTAACCGGTTTTGGGCTCCAGTTGGTACGGTTGCCGGAAATAAAAAAAAAAAATACCACTACCTTCCCGCCGACGAGGGAAGGTGGTGGGTCGTCATTGAGGGGATGGTGGTGGTCGTCGCCGGTCAGGGTGGTGTTGCCGGTCAGTGTGGTGGTGGTTGTCGCCGATTAGGGTGGTGGTGTCAAGGTGTCAGTGATTGGTGGCAAGAGGGAAGATAGTGGTGAAGTACTAAGGGCATGGTTGTCCATTCACACTAAATGTTGGCGGTTTTGATCATTTTTGTTGGCGGTATTTAACACCCCCCTGTTGAATTGTACACAATGGTACAAAATATTGATGAGTATGATCCTGATGATGAGTTCCGACGTGAACTGCCACAGCACCTTATCACTGATGAAATCCTCACAAGACTTCTAGTCAAGTCTTTGCTCCGGTTTAAGTCTGTTTCTAAAGAGTGGTATTCCACAATTTCGGGCAGTGATTTTTCGTGGTCACACCTTGAACGCTATATGATGACAAGCGGTGATGTCTCGGCGCAGTGTATTCTTGTCAGCTTTCATCCGAAATTACGAGGATCCTGCTCGGTTCTTAGAGAACTATGCAGTTCGGAAGGATGAGAGGGGTGACCGAGTTTATATTTAGGGTTCGGTTGATGCTTTAGACGAGGAACCTGATACTGTTCGAGCTATGTACTGCCATATGGTGGGTTCTTGCAACGGTTTGGTGTGCTATGCTGATCGTGGTTATCGCTGTTTTAGAATTTGGAATCCTTGTACCGATGAATGTCATACCCTGGAGGATAGCCCGCTTACAGGATATGATCATGCAGAAATGCAAATTTGCACTGGATTTGGGTATGTATGGTCTGAAGATAACTACAAGATTGTAGTTGCTGCCCTTTGTAAGTCTTCTGATGACTTGATTTTTGTTTATTCACTTCGGGTCAACAAATGGAAACAGATATCGGTATTCACTCAGTGAATCGAGTGGATATGAACTATCTGCGTATCTAATTGAAGGAAGAGGGGTTCTGGTTAATGAGAGATTGCACTGGATAGAAGAAACCACTGAGCACTTACTTTCTGAAGATGTGTTCATCGTCGTTTTTAGTTTGGAGAATGAGGAATTTGAAACGGTATTAGGGCCGTCAGAGTTATTGCAATTGACTTGTGTAACTTGGAAATTTCAATTATGTGAAATAAATGGGTTCTTGGGCATACATTCAACTATTATTCCAGATATGGTTTGGATTCGTGTGGATTCTGAATGGGTTGATTATTTTGTGTCCATTGAAGACTTACCTCAGAATTCTTGAATTTTATTCTTCGGTTGTAACAGCGACTGGAAGTTTTGATTGGATGTACTACATATTCGACAAGGATGTTTATCAGGATGCTATGTTTTACGTCGAGACCTTTGAGTCACCCTTATCAATCCTAAGAAAAGAATGCAGATGATAGTTTTCGTCAGGTTTGATGATTTTGCTGTTTATGAAATATATGCTTTACATCTATGCTTGGTGTAGACTTGTAGTTGTATGTATTTCTTTCTTTGAATTTATGTAATGATGCTACGATATTGTTAAGAGAGAATACAACATGATCACAATCATGGACGCGTAGCACGTCTTTACTATACTGCGGCGTACTTTGAGGGGAGTTTGTGCATTGTTCAGGCCTTTAGGAGAAGGGGAGAAATTGGAAAGGTTGGCATATTCTGATATTCATGTTACAAATAGATTATTGATTTGAATAATTGTTTGATTTTTTTAAGTTCGTGGTTTTATTATTGTCTATAGTAAGTCATAGATTAGTATGGATTTTTTAAGATAGCGAATAATCGAATATATAAAGATAGTTAGTGGAGAAAATGGGAAGCACATAACGTTGTTTAGTTGCAATTAAATAAAATAGTTTCTATTTGGAATTATTGCCTTTTCAAATGCTATATGTTGCTTCAAAATCACAAGTCATAACTACGCACTCCTCTAAATTCTCTATCATAAAATTATAGGGTTGAAGATGAAGTGGTTACTCAATTATATCATTGATCTCTATTTGGTAGTCTTAGCTTTCACAGATGATGTACGTATTGACGCTCGATTACTCGATGGAAAAGGGCTCGTTAATGATACCGTTGTTGTACCTGGTCCGCCGGAACTGTTGATAATTTAGAGTGTCGGAGGAGCGCTCGCGCTTCTGAAACGCGCTCGCGCTAGTTAGGCGCGACCCGCGACAAATCCGCGCATAAACCGCGATGAGTTTCTGGAAATTCTGGAAAAGTTTGGAAGCGCGCCCGCGCCTCCGGTTGGCGCGCCCGCGCCATGGCATGGCGCGACCCGCGCCTAAACCGCGCTAAAGTCGCGCTAACTTTCTTGAAATTCGAAGATTTTAGGCAAAGAAGGTGGCGCGCCCGCGCACCATGGTGGCGCGCTCGCGCTGCTGTGGTGGTGCGCCCGCGCCTCTTCGCTTGCGCTCGCACTTCTTGCCGTTTTGCGGTTTTATACGACGGTTGATTCTATTTTTATAGAAGAGGTTGTTTCGAAAGAAATAGACACATAACTTTTCTCTGTTATTCTCCCTAAGTAATTCTCCATTTTTCTCTCAAAAAACTTGCAATCTTTTGTGAGAAATCTTCTTGATTTTAATCTTTCTTGTGAATTATTTATCATCAATTTGTTTCTTAGTGCAAAGAACAATTGGGCTGACTTTTGTATCTCAAAGAGTATTTCCGGATCAAACCCAAGCACCATTGTGGGGGAAATTAAACTCTTTAGGAATGTATTCATACGCCTAAGTCAGTGTGTCAAGGATTGAGACTCAAGTGGTCACCGGTTTTCTCATGTTCATGTTGGATGTAATAGCTTGGAGTAGAGGCAAGTAAGATATCTTTCACAACTAGTGTTTTCTTTGTGTTTTTTTTTTTTTTTTGTATTACTTTGATAAATTGGTGTTTGGTTGTAATACATTGAATTGTATTTGGATTTTTGTATAATTCATTATCAATTATACATAGTTAGGTTTTGTTCCCACAATTGTTAAAGTAGTTCTTGTTTTTAGAATTACTTGAAAACCTAACAATCTAAAGAGTTTAATACTTAGCAAGCATGTCTAGTGTGAAAGATTTGACCACAAATTTTGTCAAACTCAAGAAGTTTGACGGTGTGGAGTTTCGGAGATGGAAGAAGAAGATGTACTTTCTTCTTACATCTTTGAAAGTAGCCTACGTTATTAGTACTGCAAGGCCTAGTGAACATGAGAAAGAATCCTTGGAAAATGTTCGGGAAATGTCAAAATGGGACAACGATGACTTTATTTGTCGTGGTCATATTTTGAATGGTATGGAAGATGATCTTTTTGATGTGTATCAAAATGTGGAGTCAGCTAAGGAGCTTTGGGAGTCCTTAGAAGGCAAATATATGGCTGAAGATGCTTCAAGTAAGAAGTTTTTAGTAAGTAATTTTAATAATTTCAAGTTTGTTGATGGTCGGTCCATAATGGACCAATTTCATGAATTACAACGAATCTATGGGAACTTGAAACAACATGGTATTTCTATGGGTGAATTGTTTGTTGTTTCAAGTATAATTGACAAGTTGCCTGCTAGTTGGAAAAGTGTTAAGCATGAGCTTAAACACAAGAAAGAGGACATGTCTTTGTCCGAGTTGGCCACCCATCTTCAAGTTGAAGAAGGGATAAAAGCCATGGAAAGTGCTAAGGATGAGAATCCTAGCTCATCTACCATTAATTTGGTAGAGGAAGGAAAAACTTGTGCTTCCACTATTGGAAAGAGGAAGAATAATACCTCTTTCAAGGGAAAGTCCAAGAAGCAAGCAAACAATAACAAGTTTGCTTGTTGGGAATGCGGTAAAGTTGGTCACCGCAAGAAGGACTGCTTTTCTTACAAGAAAAGG